TCTTCGTTCCGAGGGAATATGCGATCCACGGCCTCACATAGAGCTTGCGCATCCCGGCCGCTTGCCCGGACCACCTTAGATACAACATAGTCCATGACCGATTCCGCATCTCCTCCAAAGTCGTAGTACTCAAAGCTTTCAATGACGCCAACCGTCTGGAGTTGGGGCTGGATCATGCTGTTTCGAATGATTGGCTGGGAAGTCGCCTTCTTGTGGCATCTGCCCATGTCCCAGAGCTTCCACGTCCCCGTCGTGTGTCCACGTAGCCACGGTGCTCGGGGGTCCGTGTCTTCACCTAGTGACGGGATGAACAATAGGGGTGAGTAGTCACCCTCCTGTAGCGCAAATGTTGCCAGAGAAAAGAAGTATTCGAAGCGGTTCTCGATGAGAACGAGAGGATCTTGTTCCGGTCGAAAGTCAAGCATCTTCCCTAGAGCCAAGAAGTAATCTCTTGTATACTGACACTTCCGGTGACCCAGTATTCCGATTGCCCACCCAAGAGTTCGATGCATATCGTGCTCATTCTTCCATGCCTCCATATCTATCCATGAAGTCATTCTTTTTAAAGTCGTATTTTGCTTCCAGATGTCCTCTGTGACCGTCGAATTGCTTCGCTTTTTGATCCATTTTGAGTGCGCAGTGTCTAAGTGATGACATATTTCCCTGGCATAAGCATCACATATCTTGTAATCCTCCGTAAGAATAATTACATCGTTACTCTGAATGTACTCTAGTGCCACCCACATGCGGTCAAACCATCGAGACCGAATAATGGCCGCAAAGTCGATGATGAATTTGTCGTAAGGAGAATCCTTTACCTGGCCCAAGAGATGGGTTGCCCCGACGTCGTCCAGATGGATCACAGTTTTCGCGGCATGGTTATATATCTCCGGTATCGAAAGGAGGAGTCGTCCCTGAACCTCAGGGCGCCATTGCGGGACGCTTAGGTAGTCATGCCAGATTTCGGTACTGGGGAATTTGGCCGTCAGGGCCAGGAGAGTCCTGAGTGGTATTTGGTAAACCAGCCTGGAAGCGTCGATGCTCTCTAGATGAAGGTCCTGCGCAGTGGCCACCATGGGGTGCCAGGCATGAGAAATGGGGACATAGGTGACCTTGTTAGCTTTTATACAGGAGAAGTGTCTGTTAAGTATTCTGAGATTCCATGGCGATAATGGCTCCTGAGTGATATCAATGACAGATGGTTGTGAGTTGCTGTTCCCGGCGGCTATGGTTCGTATCGGAGGTTCACCGTCAGGAGGGAAATGCTTTCCACACGATGCGCAATCAGAGTCAAGGCCAGTGCCCCATACGTATGACAGGAATGAGGACTGAGGGGTCTGTCGCAATTCGCTGCCGACATGGAATGACACACTAGGCTCCCGCGATATAGCTAGGGAAGCAGTGCTATTCAAGCGCTTTCTCTTGAGATCTATAGTGCTTGACGCTACACTGAGCGAAATTGGCCCATTGGCAATACCATCGGCAAAATTCTCGCTCATCTCAAGCGCATTAAGTGTGATTGAGAGAAAGGGCTTACTTGAGCTAATTGCTAGGCTGAGCCAACAAAGCGGACTGGCGTGGGAAAACTGCTGGCCGATGTAAAATGCTAATTAAAGCTAGCTCATCACAGGCCAAGTTAAGCCCTATGAGACGACAAACCAATTGCGCTGAAGTGAGCATGATAATGATGTAGTAAGAGACGGAGACGAGCTGGCTGAAGTGAGATTAATTTGGTGGCTGGCTTGAGATAAGGAAAATCGCGCTAAGATAAGCCTAATCAGGTCATGTCTCGTGTCAATCTCCTGTTGAAGAGCATTATCGAGTTAACAATTGTGCTTTTTAACTACAGTTTAAAAACAAAGTAAAATCTTCAAATGCCATAGTTTACAAAAACGTCAAAGGTCATCTATGCTGCTATCTAGACTATTCGCTAGATGTCCAAATCTCAAATTCAGATAACCCCCATCCAACACCAGACCCAGCATTGGGTGCCTCAACACGCAGTCGAGAAGTCAATATGGAGGGGAAGGCAATCTTCGTCTCGGCATTTGAGCTCGTTGGCATCGGACTGCGAACCTGGCCAGGGATTGTTACCCATGTATCACCTACCCAGTACTGAAGATCGTAAGTAGTTGGGATCCGAACGCCGCCAGAGTCATCATAGAAGAACAGTGCCACATTATCGATAGCTTGATCCTTATGTAAGTCGATTCCGAAATGGTCTTTTGGGTTTGGGCTGTTATATGAAGTCCAGCGGCTGTTTTGTGGTATCCCTCTTCGGAAGATCATTCCGTTGATAGCTCGCATGGGATCATCCGCCGGAGACGTGTATGAAGCGAAAGCAATTGGAAGTTGAGGATCTCGCTGGCCATTTGATGCGATGTTTATTCGGGAGGAAACATGTGTTGGGAGAGATGGACCGACCTCGACTTTTATGAGACCGATGGTTCTGCGACTTCCGACAAGCTGACCGTCAAGGTAAACTCTCAAGCCTTCGCCTCGGTCGTAGACTGAACCTGTCCTGTCCCATAGGACAGTGATAGAATGCCCGTGGTAGGCTATATTCTCGACGGCAAAATAGTCCCAGTTTGAAGGAGTCAAGGGATTGACAACTATTGATTCCCCAGACTGGGCTCGAAGTCCTACAAGACCGGCCAAACCATTATCAACAAAGGTTGAGTGATTGTAATCTTCGCTGTGATTGTAGCCGTCGTACATCCATCTGTCTTCATCAGGATGATGAGCTTCAGCGACGTAGGGTTCTCCATTTCTGTACTGTGTTCGAGCGTACCGATGCAGCATCTCGTAGTAGTCCTCGGGAGCGATGTAGTTCTGTACTGGATAATCATGAAGCACATTCTCAACAGCAGTTAGAGTCTGCGAAGTTGCAAACGGCCATGAGGGACCGTCCCAACGGCAACAATTCTCTGCTTCGTACATGAACCACTTACTTCTTCGCTCAGCTGTAGTTGGGCCAAAGTTTGAGAGAAATCCTTGAGGGTCTGTGAGCTGGGAAAAGGCGGCGAGTTGGGAGTCATGGCACGGCATGCTAAACATCCATGGAAGATAACCCATGATTTCTCTGGTACCCAGCAAGGAGCCGGAGGGGTTGTCGTCACGGGCTCGGTGCTTGTAGAAGTTGCTCTCGCTGTCCCAGAGATGCTTTTGCAAAGCAGTTCGCAGACTTTCTGCCCGGCTTCGATATTCGTGTTCGAGCTCAGAGTCACCGCACAATGCAGCAATTTTTGCTATCGCAATGGCATCGCCATACTGATAAGAATTAATCGTTGGCCGAAATCCGGCACCTCCGTGATAGGGATCACTAGACTCGTAGGAAGCAGCTGTATACTCTGTCGCATCCCAAACAGGCACCTGCCAATACAGCCCCAGGGAGCTGGAGTAATGGTTATCCCACCCTCGATACTGTTTCACTAGATTTGCGAGCTGTCCAACAATAAAGTCTTTATCTCCTGTGACCAAGTACTGTTTCCACAACGCAGTGGCAGCCCAGAAGCTGTACTCGTGCGCCCAATCGGAGGTATCTTTGTTGACATCGTCTCTCATTGGTTTTGGGAACTGGCCTGGTCCAGCGAGCCAATACTTTGCGATATCCTGGCCGTACCTGGTATCGCGTATCCACCGACCTTCGGTGATATGATGACCTGTAGCAGCCACAATACCACCGTATGGTGCGTCATAGCTGACACGGTTCAAGAACTCACTGGCCATGTAACCATACTTGGCTCCAGTGTAAACAAGGTGTTCTTTGTAGGTTTGCCAACGATAGTAGTATACTTCTTGGATATGCTTATCAGGTATTTCCAGCAGGGGAATGTTCTTCTCGAACCAGGGCTGATCTTCTAGGCCTTTTAGAAGCATATCGCGGTCGAGAATGGTAGTACCTCCAGCAGACGAGTACATGGTGCTGTAGGAGTCCCAACTGGTAGCCTGATTACAACAGTCCTCAGAGTAGATCTCGGTAAGTGTAAAATAGTATAAAGCTTTGGGAAACCCATGCGAAGGCAGTGGAGTTATGTGTCAAAGCTATAGCTGATGTTGACGTCAGATGCCTCGGTGCTTATTTCACAGTGGAAACGCCACATACCAGTACGAGCATCCACCGATTCAGCGTTGCAGATTACAACAGACTTTGAATCATTCATGGAACAAGGCACGATTAGTCCTTCTTTGAGTCCTTCTAGAACACGCAATCTATAATCTATCTGATAATACAACATCTCTGATTAATTGAAGGGCCAGGTAACGTAACTGGCGTGGTTATTAGAGTTACTTACTAGCATCTGTGGCGTTTGACCATTGAATCACTAGCTACTACGAGCTTAGTTGGCATTCCAATCTCTGCCAATAGCAACACATCAAGAGGTAACCATAAGACGATGAGTTACACCTTTCCGTTTTAGAGTGGAAGGGGGATTCCTTGCTGCTTGCGTCACGATGCTTTCCTTTCAGCCACCAGACACTTCCACACAAACTTAAATGCACCAGAAGAAGGTGAAGCTTGCAGACTTGTATAAGCGCTAAGTGTCAAAGAGGCTAATGCCTTGGACTAGTACTAACGTTCAGAATGCCATCCTCCAATTGCAAAAGACATTGGGGCTGTGTTTCTTGAACAGCTAGCGAAAGCGAGTTCGGGGACCCCATACGCCGCGTTGCTATTGTTGGACACACATGCTAGCCATAGCTCGTGTCAAATATGTCTCTTGCGCAAAGCTTACATCGCTCAAAACCGTAGCTTCACTAATGACGTTGTCAATTTGACTTCCACGCGCAATCCGTAATGGTACTATGGATACGACTGACGATAATGGGCTTTCTTGCGTGAAACGTAACAATCATTTGTTGGACTATTCGTTCTTTCCGAGAAGATGAAGCACGGGTAAGTCGATGCCAATTGCAAGTATATAATCCAGTTACTCTGCGTCGAACCCAACTAGAAGGCATCACCAACCATCTATCACTTCCTCAATACCTCCATAGCCATGTGTTCTCAACTTGAGAGAGTACCTTCGCTTACCGAATCAATATCTGACCTTTCTTTGCAGAGAGTGTCACACTGTGATACGAATGCCCAAGAGTCTCTGGGCGGGAAGGTCGAGAATGCATCAGTTCCTCTACCTCCGGTCACGCTGCCAGATCAAAAGGGCTCTGAAATGACCCGTGATCTTCGATGTAAGTTCTCGACCTCATAATCCGTCATGCATCCGTGCTAATCCTCGCCAGACAAACACGCTTCGACTTACAGAAGAATCTTTGCGTTCATATTCATCGCCAACTTGGCAGTGTTCATTGCCCTCATCGTCACCTCTAAAGCCACCATCCTCTCTAGAGACGCCGCCAGCGCAGCTTCTGCAAACCTCATGGTATGCATCCTGTTTCGACAAGAAGAATTCGTGAACCTTTGCTACGAAATCGTCGTGCTGGCTCCTCATTCGTGGCCGCTCTCAATTCGGAAACGACTTGCCAAGGTCTTTCATTACGGAGGTTTCCATAGTGGCGCTGGAGTTGCTGCTACTGCCTGGTACATGGCGTATACCATCCTTGCCACACAAGAATGGGCTGCGGACAAGAAGGAATATAGACTCGTCAACATGATCACCGGTTGGGTCGTTGTTGCTATGTTTCTCATCATTCTTATCGCTGCCTACCCAAGCATTCGAAGAAAGTTCCACGACCATTTCGAAGCTTTCCATCGATTTGCTGGTTGGGTATCCTTGCTCGCGTTTTGGGTACACAACATTGTGTCGGCTCGTGTTACGGCACACGAGTGGAACAAGTCTATAGCATATGCTCTTGTGCGATCACCCAATTTCTGGTGTATCTGCGTTACAACCTCATGCACGATCGCATCCTGGTCCCGATTACGCCGCCGGGCTGTGTACCCCGAGAAGTTGAGCGACCACGCCACTCGACTTCACTTCAAATACAGGGGAATGAAGCCTTTCTATGGTCTCAAGATCAGCGACAAGCCTATGACAGAGTGGCATGCATTTGCTACCATTCCAGATATCGAGCCAGAGTCTGGCAAGGTTGAAGGCTTCAGTGTTGTTGTATCTAATGCTGGAGATTTCACCAAGAAGCAGATCATGAATGACTGTGAACGAAAGCTCTGGGTACGCGGTGCCCCTCTTCATGGGCTTCTATACACGTCAAAGCTGTTTCGTCGAATCGTCATAGTCGCTACTGGATCTGGTATCGGGCCTTGCCTTTCTCTTCTCCACGCCGACGAGACCCCTCGCCGTGTCCTTTGGTCTACTCGCGATCCCGAGAAGACCTACGGACCAACTGTTGTCGGTGCAGTTCAACGAGCCGATCCAAATGCAGTCATATGGAACACCACCGAGCGAGGTTATCCGGATATTGTACGCGAGACGTATCAACTTGTCGTGGAGTCTGATGCAGAGGCAGTGTATATAATCTCGAACCCCAAAGTCACTGAGAAGGTTGTCTTCGGCATGCAAACACGGGGTGTCCCAGCATATGGAGCCATCTTTGACTCCTAGATGCTCGGGGTTTGAGACTTACACGCAAATGGAATTGGGGTGCTTTTGAAAGGATTACTAGAAGATCGGTGGTTTCTGCATAAACTATAAATTGTGGAAGACACCACGCCCATATAGATTTATAGACCAGGTACTAAGAGACCAAATAACCACATTCCACTAGCAGGACTCACGAGATTTTACAGGTTTCTCTCTTAGTCCAATAAGCCCGATATTGGTGGATCTCAAACGACAGGTATCTTAGGGCTGGCCCCAGGACTAAGAAGTGTTTCCACAATCATGTCTTCTGGGCCATACACTGACAAATCTAGATTTCCTTCCTGACGGCATCAATCGGGGTTCTTCCTTGCGGGTATAAAACAACTTCTCTTCAACATCAATCTAGTAGTAGCGTAGTACCTAAATGCTCACAGATCCAGACTGAACATAACTAAGACGCCAACTCCGGTGTCGCCGAGAGAAACGAGACTCAAACGCCTGATATAACCTTGTCCATTTTTCGCGTTTTACAATTCGTTACTTTGGCTTCCTCCCCCAGACGATATAAAGAGGCATATAGGCATGAATGCGCGTGTTCACAAGATCTCGCCGAACATCAATTAGAGAGACCTATAGGCAAGGTTAGCAGTTGAAAACATCATCTGGAATAGCAGTATAGCATGCTGAGTTACACGCAGGCTAGCTTACCTCAATCTGCGCACTGGTTCGTTCAAAGGCCTTATTCAAGAGCTGGTAAGAGAATCCCGATAGACCATCGAGCATGTGATCAGCCCACATCCACCCCACCTGCTTGAGCCGTGGGTCCTTGGCCCAGCCGTTGATAGGCATCTTGATTATACGTTCGTGGACATCCACAAAGCCAACCCGCTTGTAGATCTCTTTGAGCTTTTTGCCAAAGATAGCCGGGCGCTGTAGCTTATCTGCTGCCACTATCAAGTCATTGCACCATGTCGCAACCGGGCCTTGAGGATCAAGAGTGTCGTCGTCGCATAAGGGAATGCAGTCCGTCTCTTGCGACTCAAACCAGCCGCCGGGTTCAAGCGCATTGAAGGCTTGCTGGGCTATCTGCGTCTCGAAATCGGACCAGCATCCGGAAGTGCTACGCGTGTGGATATAGTCGAACTTGTGATTGAACATCCACTCGTCGCCTCTATTGTATCTTGATCAGAACGCTTTTGCGGATATGGCGGATGTCGCGGAAAGAGACTTACGAGTCTTCAACGTAGAAGTATACATTTGGAGGCACGTCGTTTGGTTGGATGGGAGACAGGTCTGTGCCGATAATTGTAGCTTCGGGGAAGATATCACCCATCTGGACAGCCCAGTCGCCTATACCTGTGGCGATATCGAGAATGTTCTTCGGCGGCCTTCTAGATGAGAGCGGTGCCATATACAGCTTGCCTTTCATAATCATCTTATAGCACTCGCCCATAATTCCAAGTCGCTCTTGCTCTGGATTGTCATTAGGGAACAGGTATGCTATATGGCAGTGGTCAGTCAAATGTCGTCAAAACGGCAAAGGAATCTGGGCTGCTTACATCCAGCACGATAAGCATGATAAGTGCGACCAAACTCTTCAGGAAATGTTCGCACACTATCCGTCAAAGAGGCCGAATCGTCCCAGTCCTCGGCCTGGATAAAACTTGACGTCGCTGATGAGGCATGTTCTGCTGAAGACGCTGATCTGGCCGCAGGCTGAACCTGAGACTGAGATGGAGAAAAACACACCAAGTCAGCTCGCTGCAACGTGCTCTCGACATGGGATAAGTTTAGCCTACATTAGCTCCCAATGGAACGCTGTCTGTCGCTCTCAAGTCAGTCATCGAGGGGCAGTTGAAAGTGAATTCCCCACTTCGGGCATTGACCTCGTTTCCACCGCGGGCATCTCGGTCTTGGCCCTCCAACTGTCGCTGGCTGTCCTTATCCACCATCTAGTCCATGTATCGACACGACGATGTTGTCGTGTATATGTTGGTTGTCTTGGTTTGATATGGTAGAAAAATATGATCATAATGCGGCTCAGGCCCTTGGGCAAATCGTGGTGGTTGGCGAAGAAACTAGTGGCTGACTGGAAATTAATTCCTCCTTTTCCGATATTAGCGTCGGTATTTCTGCAAACGGCCATTTCGCGCAGCGAGAAGAACAGCTCAGCCTTGAATTAGATTAGCTCTTCTAAAAAATACATTTTCTACAGAAAGTAAATGCTGCAACTAGTTAGTATACAGAGTTTCCATGTCGGATAAGGAAGATGCCATTTTAAACTCTCACTAAGAGATATAGTAAGAGTCCTCTATAGATTAAACCGTTACCCAAATGCCTGGCATGTTATTCGTCCCGCTTTGCCGGGACTTCTACCGGTTCCGTGGCTCTGGTAATGTCTTGTCACCCTTGGTCCATGTCCCTGGTACTTGAGATGAACACGTCACGCAAAAATGAGAGGGGGTACCCGACGGCCTCGGATTGGCCCGGCTTCAACGGAGCATGGACCATCTCTTCCGGCCTGTTCGTGAGGCCTGAGGTGGATGCATGTTGCGGCTGTTACCATGCTATCAAGGATGCTTATGCACTTCACAGCCAACACGCTCAGAAAATGGCGCAAGCCGTTGCTTACACTTGATACAACATCTGCCCTGGTCGTGAGGGCTAGTTTAGCATCACCGCTTGCAAAAACGGTGAAATGGCAGACTGGAAAAGATGCTCTGTACTAACAACCCCGCTTTGCTTCAGGGTAGTTAAGTTGCTTGTTTAGAGTGGCAATCTAGTATCGCCGTTATAGCTTCAGATATGGTTCCCTTGCCATTAACTTCCGCTTCCCGATGACCGGTCATATCACGAGTATTCTAGACACGCTAAGAAACGATCTAGACATGCGTGACAGCGTGGCCCGCCACGCTTCTAGCGGCAAACTTCCCACATTTGGCTCAATGTGCGCTCCATCCTGGCTTCGCTTGTGCGAAAGGTCCATACGCGATCATAAACAGACAATCAGTAGCGGCATTTATCCCTTGCAAACTTAGCGATACAACATCAACGGAAGGGAGCCGATTACAGTTTCTTCATACGTGTCATTTTAATGATAGATGTCGTGAAATATGATATGATTCCAAACACCGAGGGCCGGGAATATCACAAGAATACAAGAGGGTTTAGCTGGCCGAGCTATCTAGGCCAGATAAAGGAATTCCTGTCCGTGCCCAGGTCCTAAAATTCATCGTTCAGCCACTATTCTCTACTATACTTTTCAGATCAACTATCCATTCCAGTCCACTTCATATACCTTCCGCCATGGCATCCTCCGACGATCAGTGCGAGGTACCCGAGCTACTTACCCGCTTCACTAGCTGGAAGCATCCTCAGACGGCCCACATATTCCAGTACTCCAGGCTGAGCTGTGACCGCTCACTGAAAGAAGTGTCCCAGAATGAGGTTATCTCGCGCAACGGCGAATTTGCCGCATGCGGAGGTCTCTACGGAAGCTGGGTCTACCCTGGCGGCGATGCTGAGAGGATCAAGGTCGTCGCCGACTTTTATTCAGCTTGGGTCTTTCTGGATGACCTCATCGACAACAGCATTGACATGAAATATACATGCGATGTGCTTGACGACATCAAGGCCCGGGTGACAGATCCTCGCCAGGGCAACCAAGGCCTTGACCATTTGTTCAGGCTTTGGAGTCATGAGGGCTGGAGCAGCGAACTTCTTCAGCTCGCAAAGGCTGAAATAGATCTCTGGCTCCACTGTACCCAGGCTCTTCGGAAGATTGAAGTGGAACAAGAACCAGTCTCTGTGGAGGAATACTTGACCTACAGGCAGACCAATGCCGCTATGGGTCTCATGTTTCTCATCATGCCATTCACGAGGCCAGATCTTGCCGATGACCTCCTTCGTCTGCGCAAATGGTCACCAGATACCCTGAAGAACATTTTCAGCTACAGTGGCCGAAATATGGGCGTGATTCTCGACCTATACAAGCTCAATGCGCACCATGCCCAGATCACCGAATACAGCCACATCGCTGCAATTGTTCAGCAGAATTCCGACACCCGCATAGACTTCCAGCAGGCTGTTGACCGCTCAGCTGAGATCTTTCACGAGTATGAGGACAAGCTTGCCGTTGAGTTCGCCAAGGTGGCTACCTTGAGCCCTCGACTCGCCAAAGCGTTGGAGGATGTTCACGCCGGTAGCATTGCTTGGCTCAACCTCATGCGCGGCCGCAGATACGTCAAGAAGACCCAGTCGCGACGTCGTAGCTATGGTGGAAAGATCGCTGCGATCATCATCTGTGGGCTCCTCCTGGCTACTATTCTTATCCTATGGCTATGGCCTTCTTTGTGGTCTCATTATGTCCCAGTTGGAGGTAGACAAATCTTTGCAGACATGTAATCCAATACACAGGACTGGGAAACCATGGCGAAGGAGCTTTCGTTTTGCTTTCGTTTTATTTCACGACATATTATGACATTGGGCGGCTAGCGTAACTGAATTAGTTTTCTGAAGTCTGCATTAAATATCACATGTTTATACCGAGGTCGACCAAATCTGGAGGGGTGAAAACGTGACATGATATGCCAAGTCGCTTCTTCTACCATAGCACAGAAGGGGACATAATTACAGAAGTCATTGTCAATTATTACCATATCCTCAGGTAAAATTTAAAACGAGAATCTAAAAAATAGGGAGAAGATCACATAAATTGAACAAATTTCGCTTCGCCTAACAATTGCAATTATCTATGACTTATGCTAAGTAATATTAGATCATAGTGGGCAACCGCAGTTACCGAACAGGTTTGAGTACCGCCCAAAACGGCTTCTTGTCCCACAGCATGTATGCTTTCTGTTTGGTGGTCCAGCCTCTACTTTCCGGCACTGACTCAATGTCAAAATTGTAAACGAGGCGCGCCAATGCCAGGCGTGTTTCAGCCCAGGCGAGACTAGAAAGGAATGAGTATTAACGATCGAAAGACAAGATGGGAACACCTACTTGCGACCGGGGCAGTTTCCATGACCCAAACCAAAGGGCTGGAATGCCTCAAAGCGGTCTTCAGAGAATTCGGGGTCCTTCAGAAAACGCTCAGGATGATATTCAAGAGCCTTTTTAAAGTGCCGCTCAGAGTGGTTCGTGGCCCACGAAGCAACAGCGACAACCGTCTGACTCGATCAGCTTTTATAGATAAGAGGCAGAGACATTCTTAACTCACCTTCTCTGGTACAGCATGGCCAGCAATAACTGCACCGCCATGGGGGACGACTCTTGGTAACGCAGGCGGGACTGCGGGAAAACATCGCAGGGCCTCATTCAGGCAGGCAGCCAGATAGGTCAGCTGGTTGACGGATACTATTGTGATCTCATCGTCGTTGTTGAAGGTTGATCGAACTTCCTCAGCCAGCTTCTGCAGTTTGGCTGGATTGTCAGTCAGCAGAGAGACTGCGGCTACTAACAAGGTGACAGAGCTCTCTGAGCCTGCTGTGATTAAAATGGTAGAATTCTCCATAAGCTGAGCAAATGTCTTCAATGGTATTCGGGTTAGTTCATATTCGGAAAACGACATTAAGAAGCGATAGACATACCAGAGGTGGCTTTCGGTCAAGGAGGGGTTGGAATATATCGAGTCTTGGCTTTTCCACCTTGATGCGAGCTTCGACCTTTTCCCTCGTGAGGTGTTCGTGCAGTATCTTACCCCTCAGAAGGGAACTGCCTGACAACACATGGACAATCCGTTGAAGTCCCAAGTACATCAAAACCTGCATGAAGGCAAACTCTCTAACGTTCTGACTAACAGCTTTGACCCAAGGATGGTATTGCTCAGATTCAAGCCCTCCAAAGTCAGACCCAAACCCGAGATTTCCGATGATATCGAAAGTGTAATAGTTAAACCACTCGCGCAGATTGACAGGGTTTCCGTCCTTTGAAACCTCTGTCAATTTGCGGATAAGTGTATCCGTATATCCTTGGATAATGGGCTCCTGGAACTGCAACGATCGTTCTGAGAAGGCCGGTGCGAGCTGCCGCTTCATAGAATCATGATACGGCCTATTTAACGAGACAAAGGTCTCTGGAGCGCTGGGACCAGCCCACTGATAGAATCTGTCATACCTGGCCATATCCCCAAGTCGAGCTGAGCCTCCATGAGCGACATATATGTCTCTCCAGGCTTCCGGGTCAATGAAAGACAGCTCGTTGGGCCGGATGCGCACAACAGGACCATATTGCTCGTGCAGACGTTGAGTCTCGAATAAAAGATCTCCACGCAAGAACTTGTAGTGACGGTACAATGGGGAAGCCCGACAGAGAAGCGGACCAGGAAAGTTACGAAGCGGGTGCAGGAAGATGTTATACACCACGTATCCAATACAGAGGACTGTCGTCTAGGTGACAATTAGCTTAGAACGTAGAGCAAAAGCCGTGGCGTCTCAGACATACAGCAGCGACAGCTCCAGCTAGAATCGAGACACTAAGCATAGTGGCTACAATGAAGCAATGCTTTTACTGGCGATAGCATGAGAAAGAAAACAGTAGATCTTGCAGCTAACCGATCTTGGTGAGGTTTTATTGAACTGCAATCGGAACTCATGGAAAGCAATGTAATCCCCGCTTCCTCATTGCATGTCTAGCGCGTTCAACGTGGTCAACATCATATTCTCTGATTCTCTTATCATTAATGACTAGACAAGGGTCACCTTTCCAGAAACTGATATTACGAACCCAACAGCCGATGGGTGCATTCAGAAATACGTGGCTCGCTATTAGAGGCTGGGGGGATTTTGGTGTGAGTGGGTATGCAAGGGAGAACCAACATGCATAATAAACAGGATATGGAAAAGCTTAGAACTAAGACTTCGAGTTGTCTCCACTTCCCGCAAGAACCCAATGAACCAACAAGGGTAAGAAGAATCGGAAATAAGTTCTCTTTTGGGACAAGACTGTAGTTAAGTTAAATTGACCAGGGACATTGTAGGAATAGCAGTCTGATACAAGGGGCCTATGTACGGTATCTAGCGGCTGTATTTCCACTGAACCTTAGCGGCGGTTAATAGTGTTCAAGGTAGAAGTATAAGAGGGCTTCTTCTGGAAGTTGTCGTTCCAAAGCAGAGCAGATCCCTCTCCGGGGAAAGTTCCGGGGACCCAAGAATACTTATCAGAGATACCCTGCGAGCCATTAGTAAGAAAGAAATCAAGGATGTGAAGTGAGAACATACCCAGACGGTGATACCAACGCATCGCTTAACATCCATGCAAGAGCCAACGATTCTGGCATAGGCATCAGCGTTGGTCTGGAGCTTCTGCTGGGTAGCAGGAGTGTTCATGCGAATATCCAGCTCAGTGTAAGCGACGTCGACGCCCAGGTCAGCGAGGCCCTGGAGGACGGAAGCCAGCTTGGCTCGCGAGGGGGTCGGGGTGTTTTGGGTAGGAGTGCTCTCGCTGGTCATGTGAGCCTGCAGACCGATGCCGTCGATGCGAAGACCGTAGGACTTGACGAGCCTGGCGATGCGCTTGGCACCCTCGGTCTTGGCGTTGCCGTACTCGAGGTTGTAGTCGTTGTAGTAGAGCTTGGTGGTGGGGTCTGCTGCCAGGGCCATGCGGAAGGCGATGGGGATGTAGGCCTCGCCGATGACACGGAGGAAGACGCTGTCACGGTAAGTTCCATCCTCGTTGAGAGCTAAAAGATTGGTTAGTAGTCCAATACTGTCTCAAGAGCCTCATCATGAAAGTCAAACTTACCCTCGTTGACAACGTCCCAGTGAGTGCACTTTCCACGGTAACGTCCCATAACAGCGTTGATGTGATCTCTCATCACAGCCTGCAGAGTCTGGTTGTTCCAGTTGCCGTTCGCAACCCACGATGGGAGCTGGCTGTGCCAAACAAGAGTATGGCAACGCAGCTCGTAACCTCGTGAGGTGGCGGCGGCAGCGTGCTGGTCAGCGGGACCCCAATTGAACTGGCCGCGGTTGGGCTGGATGGCCTCCCACTTCATGGCGTTCTCGGGGGTGATGGATCCAATCTCATTCTTGTTGTTGATGATGTTGATCTCTCCCTGGTCATTGCGCACGGTGAGAGCAGTGCCGAAGTACTGCTTGCCAGCGGCCTTCATGGCAGCCTGGAGGCCAGTGGCCTGTCGTGCCTCAACATCACTGGTTATATGTGAGCGAGGTTATCGCCATTTGGTATAGGATGACTTACGGAACGGGGTTGGCAACGGCAAAGCCGTTGAAAGCAGCCAAAGCGACTGTGGGGATGAGACTGAAACGCATCTTTGCAGCTGGTGAAAGTGAGTCAAGAACGAGACTTAAACTTGTCTGCGATGAACCAGAACATTTCTCTAGATCCAGCGATTCATCTCATGTTATATATCAAAACTGTTCATGATGTCAATTACCTAATGTTTCCCGGCTAAATCAATGCCTTGGTTGTTTCACATCTCGCGGCACTTTCTCTTAACCAAGATGGCTAAAACCAGGTCTGGGGTTATTAGCCGGCTCGGCATAGCCAAATCAGCAGACTGAAAACGTGTTTCCCTGCAAGTATATGCTATTTGTTTGTTCCTTGCATGAATACGGTAGATTGAAGGAAATTGACTATGTTTAATGTCAGCCAAGACCTAGCAAAGGAGTGCAAGGCTTGGATATATGCTCAAATACACGTCAAGTTGATGCGAAACAACGAATTTTCTATTCATCAACGTGTGTACCTGCATTACACAAGAGCCATTTTGCCATTCTAAAAGTAACAGTCTTGTTATCATCTATCAATAAATGGCAATTTCCTGGATAATGGCCTCGACTCAACGCCATGAGAGTCGAGGCTAGCTGAACTAAGAGCCATGAATTCTAGATGCCAAGTGACCCTTCAATTACAGCCTAATAACAACATCCTTGACTCCCCACAATAGACCAGATCATGTCTGGGGTATGATCATGAGACTTTAAAGCTTAAGAGTAATTGATGCGGTATTCGGATCGCGCCTGGGGATGAATACGATGATCGACGCGGAGCATGAGCCTCCGACTACCGAATTCGTGTCTGGTGAGTGTGGGGAAATGTACCGTGAATAACCGGCTGAGCGGTTAGCAGTATGGCCAATTAGGCTGTCGGTTGGCATTATGTCAGCTTCTTCCGCTGGAGCGGTGAGCGTGTTAACGCGTTCTTGAACGCGTCAGGTACAGGGTATGACGATAATAATTGTGTTGGAAAAGCTGTGCTCTGATGTGAACAAACAAGTGATCTAGATATTGAGAGAAATAAAGAAATAAAATTACATCGAAGATATGTACATGGAAATCGCATCATTAATCAACCCTCGCGCGCTGAAACTTTGGAAAGCTCAGCAAGAAAATAATCCACCAAAGGAGCAACCTTGGCGCAGTCTCCGTCAAACAGTGATTCATCGCCACTCGCAGACACAGTAAGACTACCATTTTCGCCCATAATCACATTGAAAAAGAAATGATGATTGGACAAATAGGCCGTGTCAAGTCCATCAATGGTGGAAACCGTAGATGATGGCTCTGTAGCAGTGAAGTATCCAGAGGCGAGTGTCTCAGGGAGCCTATACCTCTCCAAAGCTTTCGGCCTGTCCGTGGAGCTCCCGTTCTGAGATGCTGCATGATCGCGGCGGTGGATGATGTTCAAGTGCGAATTGAACTTGGGACCCAGCTTCCGAACACCATCTGCCTGGCTGAAGCAATTGAGTTGCGCGAGATGGTCCTGGATGAAGCCGAGTAGGTCTTCAGCCGACGACTCCAAGTCAACAGTGAATGGCGTCACAGAAAGAGTTGGGATACTCGCAGCAGTCAGATCAAGGGTTTGCATCCCATCAGGTGACGAAAGAGATCGAGAAGCATGATTGAGACCAAAGGTAGGCTTGGTTTGTTGAGTGAAGTGCCGCAGTGTCCTTGCGTAGGAGAGAATGAGAGCTGCAGAGACCTCTGAGCTACTCTTCTGCAACAGTGACTTGGTGCTATTCTGAGGGGCAATGTTGGAGCTCGTCTTGAACTGCGGGCCATGCGCTGATAGAACAGTATGCTCAGCGTTGTGACCTAATACTGTTTCTTGAGCACCGGAAAGATGACGCCTCCAGTATGCTTCCTCGGCGTCTGGTTGTCTGATTCCTCTGATACTATGGACAGCTTGCTCCAGTGACTGGCGAGCCTCTTGGATCTTGCCCTCGTGGAGAAGATCGTTGAGGTCCTGTTCAATCATCTTGATACTCCATGCGTCATAAAGTGCATGATGGAGTCTCAAGACAACCGCTTTACCATCTGCAGCTTCTAAGAAAGAGAGGCGAACTGGAGGCTCCTTCAAGTCTGATGCCTTGGCATTCTCCTGGCTCACATGCTCCGCGATCAACTCCTCGACAGTCTTTGATGCGTCTTCCAGGGCTATGAAGCGCGACCGGGCTGACCAATCCTCTGACAGAGTGACTTGGTACAGCTCCATAAAGGTCGTTCCAGTTGCAAAGGTAGTTCGAAGGACATCGTGAGCTTTGACAAGCTCAGACCAGCAGGCCGCAAGTTGTTCCTGGTCGAAAGTGTCGGGAAGTCTGTAAGCCCATGGGGCCTCAAAGAATCTCTTCCCGTTGTGCAACCAAAGCTCAAGGTGAGAACGCTGACCAGGCAAAGCAGGAATGATAGACTTGATCAGATGTTCTGGCTGTCCAAGGGTCTTGGATATCGCCGACTTCAAACCTTCTCGAAGAGGCTCCGGTTGATGCTGGATGCCGTTTCTCGTTGGCTTGCGCGAAGATGCTGGGCGTGTGAAGATGTCGCGAACGCTAGCACCCTTCATGATCTCAAAAACGCTGACACTGAGTCTAAGTTGCTGCTTCAGAAGCTTCGATAGTCGAATGGCCAAGATCGAGTCCATGCCGACGCTGATAAGTCTTGTGCTGTAACCGATCTTCTTTCCACCTCGCCTTGTTCCTAAAACCGTATCTACAAGCTTCAATGCTGCATCGGCTGTTGGAGTCAAGCCATTCATATCAGGCTCCGTCGGATCGCTCTTGGTCTCTGGAGGCGGCGTATTGTTGACTGGGTTAAGGTACTTGGTGTCAACTACAGGCACGTCAAGTCCATGAAGAATGTGGTCCAAGGCTGCATTCAGGCTCTGACCCAGTGAATCAACCTGCTCTTGGGGTAACTTGGCCCTCAGCTTCCCGTTAAGAATATTATTCCTGATATGGAAGCTCACGATGAGAGGGTAATCATCATAGACTGGCCCAGTCGCGTCAGCGGCTTCAGCCTGCACAGACCTGAAAAGCTTCTCTGAGTCATCGCTGGTATTTGAAGAGCCAAGAACTCCGTCAAATACGAAGAGACTTTGGAAGAGGGCTGCTGGTGCATCTGCCCTGTCATGCCCTGATCTCCAGAGCGTCTGGATCTTTCTCAGTGAAGCCATTGAATTGGTGCCTCTTGCACCGTCGATCTGTTTCTGTACAAGCTCTAAGGCTTTTGAGACATTGATGCAACGGTCGGAGTGACCTAGTTTCACTCTCAAGGGCAACGTGTTGATCGCAGGGCCAACGATGGCAATATCATCATCGGCATCCGTCGAAACAACTTCTCCATACACGACGTCAGCTTGTCTGTAAAGGGACTCGCACAAGACCTTGATCCAGGACAACTGAAGTGCTGCTTTGATGGTCACGCCGAGATCCCGGCATTTCGACTGGAGAAGCGACAGTTCACTCGTGTCCAAGCTGAAATGGACTGTAGATGATGCTTTGAGATCATCACTGGGGAAGTCGAGGGGCGTATACGTGTAGTCGCGAACGGAATCTGTCCAGTAGGCAATTGAAGCCCTTTGCGAACAGGCGACAGTCCTTGCAAACGGTCTGTACAGATGCTTCGGCTCGTCGACGCCATCAGAGAGGTCATTGTTGAGGCGCCGACGGTAGTATTCTTGGAGAATACTCCAGACAGACTTGATAGATGTTGCATCATAGAGGGCATGATGGATTCGCAAATGCAATCTTCCAGGAACTGTTGGTTGAACCTCCCAGCTGACGCGGTCGCTTTGCTCAGTGGGAGATACAATACCAACCCACGGCGACTCATCATCATCAGTGAAAATGAATCGGGTCCTGAGGATCTCACATGCTTGAACGGTGTCTTTCATAGCAGCGAAAAACTTGTCAAGACTAGGTGTGTCATGTGCAAGAGCATAGTCAGAAAGTTGGATGGCATGAACATACGTGTATGCATCACTATCAGTGGCCAGAGATGCGCTGAGCATGCCTTCTTGGAGCGGCGTTGCAATGAACATGAGACTCTTGGCTAGACGCTCAAGATTCCTGTCATAGAGCTCAGTCTCACTCAACTTGCTACTGGGATGGTCACTGCTAGAATGAGACTTGGCACTGCCAACGGAAGGAGACTTGGCCTTTGCATCCTGCAAAAGCTGTGCGACGCCTTTGATGGTTCGTGCCTTGATCACGGCGTGCGCAGACAACTTGGTCTTGTGCGACTTGTTGATCGACTTGATAAATGGGAGAACGGTGATGGAGTCAAGACCAAGCTGGTACAGTGACGTCGAGTCGGGCTTGGATGACAGCTCAGATGGATTGAGATGGACGAAGTGACTCAGGATAGCTTGGGTGTCAGCGAGTGCCTTGTTGTAACTTGGTGCATCTGTCAAGGTGCTATCGCTTCGAGGGCCGTTGGAGACTTGGACTGGTACAGCCTTTGCAGCGAGAGGCGAAGTAACAACATCCGACACTCTGACGGTCTTGTCAGCGCAGCTGTACACAACCTTCTCAAACATTTGGCCGATATCATGAAGCTGCTCCACATTCAATGCTCCAGCAGAAGAAAGCGTCAGCATGATTTTTCCATCAGCGTGAAGATCCACATCAAACGCCAAAGCCATGTCGCTACTGCTACGAGTAGGTAGAGCGGTCATTTGTCCTGGTTTGGCGTCACCGAGTTCGTCGGTAGACACGATGTTGATACTCAAGAGACTGTCGAAAAGCTTGTCCTCCGATCCAGACCAGCGCTGTACTTTATCGACGCTGACGAGTGGCATAGCACCTTGGCAGACATCAAGGTGAGACTTGTGAACACGTTGAGCCAGTTGGGGCAGAGTCTCATCGAGACTGTTGATGGCGGCGGCTCGAATGAGTGTATTGAGACATGGGCCGATGAAGCTGTCAACATCGTTGGCAACGCCATCTAATAATGGTCGGAGTGACATGATGAATCCATAGACAACAGATGGCTGCTTGGTGAGTTGGGCGAGGCATATAGCGACAGCCAACTGGAATGCAGACGATGCCGATACTGTTTCTCCAGATCCTGGGGAGTGAGCTTTGAGTCTGGCGTTGAGCTCAGAAGTCGTGTACCCAAGACAAAGAGTCTGACGAGCCATGGTACCACTCGTGTTGTTGTCGTCAATGGCTCCAACGCGACATGGTTGAACTCCCTGCAATTGTTGTTGCCAGGACCGTCTTGTAGCGTCGAGTTGCTCATTCGATAGGTTGCAGTGATTCGAAATGGTGGACAAGGTTGCTAAGCTGTTGGCTGCAGTAATTGCCGACGTCTGGCTGTTGTAGGCCACTTCAAGCTTGTTCTTGAGCGCATTGATAGCAACACCGTCGAATAATGCATGGTGGATTTTGAGCGACACGGTGGTTTCGTCTCCTTCGATGTCGGAAACTTGTAGTCGGATAGGAGGTCGTGCATTCATCTGAGACACGATATCGGCTGGATGCCCATGATCACCAAGAGGAGAAGATGGCAACGATCGAAGAACGACCTGGAAGATCTGGCCATCGTCTTCATGTTGAAGGAAGCAGGTTCGGAGCATTGCTTCCGAGGCGATGACCTCTTCAGCTGTTTTCTTCCATTTGTTGATGTCTGTGCCGCGACTGAGACGGTAGCTGAACTGTGCTACGTATGGAACATCATGTCCCTCGGCGTTCTCTCTTTCGCTGAAGGCACTCAGCCAAACGAGAGAGCGCGCGATGAGAGCAGACTGGAGAGGGAGACAAGGAAGGACAGCTTCGATGTTGTCTGCGTCGAGACCTTCTGGAAGGGGGCCGAGGTCTGACACGTTCAGAGTCGGGGTTTGTAGATCGTCCGTGGAGGGTGGTGTTGACAGAAGCGTGCTGTTAGACAGGCTACCGCTCTCTTGTTCATCGGAAAGTCTTGCAATATCTGCAACTGTGCACGATGAAGAGAGGAGATGAGTCATCTTCAACTGAGAAAAGCCACGTTTTCTTAAAAGAGAGACCAAGTTCACTGCCGAAAGACTGTCGATACCAAGACGCTGGATGCTGCTGGTACTCGATGCCTTGACGCTGCCACCGACGGCCTCTTCTATAGCCGCAACCACACTCAACTCCTTTGCACTCAAGCTGGTCTTTGATCCAAGCACGCCTCCCGAGTTGGTGTCATCTCCGCCGTGATCTAGCTGAGTGGCTAGGAAGTCCTTTGCCAAACGCGCCAAGATCTTGGTGTCAACTTTGCCAGAAGCGGCGAGGTATGGGATCTTGGAAACCCAAACCAGTGTCGGTACCATGAAAGCAGGGAGTTTGTCTTGACACTCGTGTTCAATCATCTCGAGTAGTGAAGCTGACTCCTCGTCTTGGACCTCAAGTAGCTCAACCTCCTGTTCAGCCTGAACCTTGGGACTACTGGTCTTCCTAGCGATGAAGCCTAGCAGCTGTTGTTGCTGGTTTGAGCTATCGTCTCCCGTGGAAGCAACCGTCGCTGCAAAGTCAAAGTCACCCTTGTCACCTGCAACTTGCTTTAGGAAGCCAACGACCTCATCCACCTCAAGTCGCTGTCCGCGAATCTTGGTTTGCTGATCAGCTCTGCCAAGGAACTCGAGTGAGCCGTCGTTCATCATCCTCATCATATCACCTGTTCGGTAGACTCTCTTGCTGCTGCCGTCGGGGAGAGAAATGGTCTGAAAGCTCTTGGCTTGTTCAATGGGACGGTTCAGATAGCCCATTGCTACCTGCGGACCAGCGATGCAGAGTTCACCTGGCTGGCCTCTTCTAGCAATGATAAGACTGTCACCCTCGCTGTTGGGACATAGAAGCATAGCTTCAAGACCTTGTAATGGAAGCCCAAGGTTGCGAGCGTTGGAGTCTTGATGCACAGCATGGCCCAAACATCCAATGGTGACTTCTGTAGGGCCGTAGAAATTGAAGAGAACGGCTTGATCATCAGCCAATTGTGGCCCTTGGACCTGAGCCCACGTGTTCAAGAGCTCATTCGAGGCCTTCTCTCCACCAGTAGTGACTACTCTCACAGACGGAACATCTTCAGGTCGAATCCTCAATTGGCTCAACACCGAGGGAACAGATCCGAAATGTGTGACATTCAACTCGTTGATTAGCTCCTTCAGATTCGCCATCATAGCCGTGCGGTCCTTTCCGATGACGACCCGATGACCAAGATGCCAGGGCACGAAAAGCTGTGTCAGATGAGGATCGAAGGCGCGGGAAGTCAGGTTGAGGTACTTCCCAACACCGCCGAGTCTTGCGGTGGCGGGCGAGTGTTCAATCAATCGGGTGCTGAATGCAGAGATGAAGTGGCAGAGATTGCTGTTGGAAACTCGGACACCCTTGGGACGGCCAGTAGAGCCAGAGGTGTAGAGGAGATAACCGCCAATGCCGGTCGATGGTGGGATCTCAGATACAGGCCACGAAAGTATGGCATCAACGTCATCATTCGTGTCAGGAAGAAGCAGTAGAGGAGGGTCATTGGCATCGTCTAGTCCCAAGTCACCGACAAGTTCTTCGGTTGTGATCACCAGCTTAGCACCCGCATCTCGAATGAGGAGCTGTTTGCGAGCTGGTGGAAGATCCTCATCGACGGGAAGATACACGAATCCAGCACGGAAAATGGCCAAGGTGACTGCCAATGACTTGATATCTCTACCAAGGCACATAGCTACAGGATCATCAGGCTGTAGACGAGCCTCATGCTGGATTATTCTCGTAGCGATGGTATTGGTGAGCTTCTCGAGCTGGGCATAGGTAATGGTCTTGGAAGTAATCTCCTCGTCATCATCCAAAGGTTGAAACACGACTTCCTCAACGGCGATCCAATCTGGATGCTCCGATGCGTGGGAGGAAACGTCTCGAGTCGGATTGGCAGCTTCGGTCTCTTGGCTGGAAATTTCACCACTGATTGACAGAAGACTCTTACTCATTCTGTTCTGGAGCTGAGTCAAAGGAGCCTTGGGGGCCCCGGTCATGACTTGCGCTTGGGCAAGGATCTGGTTGAGCAAAAGGTCCAACTGTGCCTGAGAAATACGACGTCCATCTCCAGTGAGCTCGATAGTTCCATTGGCCTCAAAGATGTTCAGAGCAAGTGGATGCTCAACGTTGAGCGACAATGCCTGTCCAATCTCCTTGAACATGGACTGACTAGCTTCAGCTTGGTTTTCACCTGATGCGGGATGATAGACAAAAAGACCCGGGAATGGGGCATTGCTGCTCCCGCTTCCTCGATTGAGCATCTTCTTGACATCCACGGGATGAAGGTTGTGTGTGCTCTGAAACATCTGTGCTGACTCGGTAGCCATCTCCTTCCAGAGTTCCTCGGATGAAGCAGCATTGGAGCGAACAATGAGAGGCAGCGTGGCTATTGCGGGACCAACAACTCGTGCGAGATCTGGGTGAAGGACTCTCTGCGAGATAGTGTGACCGAGTACGACGGCGTCGAGTTCGAGGTATGAGGCGAGAACGCAACCAAAGGCGGATTGAAGTAGTGTTGGAAGTGCAACTGCCGAAGTAGATTGGAGGAATGGAGCAGGAATGTCTTTCCTCGACATCAGAATCTTCTGAACCTGTTTTTGTCGAGATTGAGTGAGGTCAGGGAAAGGCGCATTCAACGTGTCTCCAGAGGCTGTCCTGCTGATCTCATCCAGTCGACGACTCCATAGCGCAGCTGCTTCATCTCTCTTGGATGGAGTCGGCAACAGCCCTAGGCCGAGACCAGTCTCAAACTGCACAACTCCGCCTACACCTCCGACAGACTCCATGTGATACAAGCTCGTGACAGTCTCCAGGAAGACATCAGATGCCACTGCATCGTAGAGGGCGTGGTGCATACTGAGCATCATCGTCTTGGTGTCTTCGACAAAAGTGACACCCCACGGTGCCTCAATGGTGGTTGTTGGAGACAACTCAAGCTGCAACTTCTTAGCCAGTTCACTGAGACTTTGATCTTCCTCAGATCGAATCTGGGACCAGTGCAAACTTGGCGTTTCTCGAATCAACTGGAGAATCGTAGAGTGAACACCCTTCTCACGAGCCCAGGACACTGTGTTGTCGGTGCCATCTACGTCGAGTTGTGTCAAGGGGACAAAGACAGTTCGGAGGATGTCGAAGCGCTTGGCTGCAGCAGTCCAAGCTCTCTTCAACTGGCGTTCATCGACGTCGTCTAAGTGGCTGAGATCAAACACGCGATGGGCCCAGTAAGCTTGTGGCTCGAGCATAGTCTCGACGATCAGGGACTCTTGCATGGGTGTCGCGGGTAGGATGTACTGCGTATCGGAGGGTCGCATGCCACCCTTGATGTTATCAGTAAGTGCCTTCTTGATAGATGCAAGCCATGATGTTTCTGTGTCGCCTGCTTGGGCTGGTAGCTCAACTTCCTCGGCCTTCTTTGGCATCCGACTAAGCGTGACATCGACCAGCTCTCCCAGAGACTCACATCTCATGAGATCCAGGACTCCAACTTGGCACTTGAGCTCTCGCCTCAGAAGCCAAGCAAGCTTCGTAACTTGCAGTGAGCTGAGACCAAGCCCCGCCAAACTGTCATCCGGGGAGAGGTTCTCCATTGGGATGTTGAAGTGTCCGGCGATTGTCTGGAGAATGGAAAGCTGATCCTTCGTCCACTGCTGCTTGGCTTGGTGACTCTGTCCTTGAGCCTGTGTCGAGTCATCTCTCCCAGCCAACACATTGAGATCCGACTCCGCGTAAATAGCCTGCAGCGCCTTGCGATCAACCTTGTTAGAGGCAGTCCTCGGCATGGTCGTATCCAGAACAACAACGTGGCCAGGCACCATGTAAGCAGGTAAGAGATCTTTGGCCCTCTTGAACACCTGGGATCTGATATTTGCAGTGTCAACATCACCAGTCTTGACCGAGACAAACGTGACGACGACTTTGTTGTTATTGCCAGCGGGTGCACCTGGACGCTGGAGATACAGTGTCTCGACGTGTTCAACCGCAGCGTCATCATCCTTCAAGCTTGCGCACGCTGCGCTGATCTCACTGAGTTCAATGCGAATGCCAGTGATCTTGACGAGATCGTCGTTTCGACCCAGGAACTCAAAGCCATGGTCGTTCAATCGCACGAGATCTCCAGTGAGATAGATGCGCTCGTCGATGCCTGGACCGCCCTGGATGAATGCCTTGGTAGTCTTGGCTTCGTTTGCCAGGTAGCCTTTGCCGACTTGTGCACCGCCCAGAGCAAGCTCACCAACTCCGTACCGAGGAACAAGCTCCCATCGCTTGGTGCCTTGTGAGTTCTCAACCTCGCGAACAGCGTAGGCCGTGCAGTGATCCAGAGGAAAGCCAACATTGGCAGCTTTAGCCGTGTCTCGATCTTGCCAAAGAACTGTCGCATCGTAGAGACGACAGCGTTCTCAGCTGGCCCATACGTGTTGTATGCGCGAGTCGTGATATCGGGATGCGCCCAAGCCTCGGCGACGTCCTCAGTCAGCTTTTCGCCAATAAACGTGACGTATTGAAGAGTTGAACCCTTGAGTTCCTGAACTGCAATACTGGCTCCAAACGAAGGTGTCAGATGAGCGTGAGTTGGGCGAGACTTCCAGATGAACTCGGTGAATGTGCCCAAGACTAGCTCTCGTGTACCGCTGATGACACTTCCCGCCAAGCCCCAGGTATAGAACAGGTCTTGTACAAAGACATCGAAGCTGTAAGCGGAGAGTTGCAAGGTGCGAACCTGCTCACGATCGTCGTGCTCGACGAGGACTTGCAGGTCGCGCATCGCTTGAGCAGCAGCGCTGTGCTGAATCATGACACCCTTGGGCTCACCTGTGGTTCCGGAAGTCCATAGAAGATATGCCAAATCTTGCCCAGTGATCTTAGCAACGCTTTCACGTGGCCTAGCACGGACCGATGTCTGGTGGTCGTTGTACTTATCAACAAGGATGACTTGAACGTCTTTAAGTGCGTCTTGAGCGAGGCAAGGTTCCACCAGAGGTAATGACTCGCTAGTCGTCAGCAGCACTTTGCTCTGCGCTCGAGCGATGAGAGACGTTCGACGTTGTACTGGAGACGTTGTGTCAATAGGACACCATGCAGACCCAGCCTTTAGAATGGCCAGGACAGCTACATAGAGCTCGATACTGCGTTCCATGCAGATGGGAATGATGTCAATGTCTTGCTCGCGCAATATGTTTGCCAGACCGTTGGCTCTAGCATCAAGCTCTGCGTAGCTCATCTCGACGGGAGCGGAGTCGAGTGAAGAGTAGAAGCTCAGTGCAAGAAGATCGGGAGTCGATGCAGCTTGATCCTCGAACTGAGCATGCAGAAGTTGAGCTCTGTCGCGAGTTTCTCTATTTGCGTCGTCCAATCCTTCTTCTACAACGGGGATCGTCCCCTCAGCAGACAATAGGTCTCTGCCAATGCACGCAGGTAGACTCTGTACCAGGTTGTCAGGTAGTGACGCCAGGATAGTCTCGGTGAGTGCCGCAAACTGCTTGATGATGCATGTTGCAGAAGTGTCTGAGAATGTCTCGTCGCGATACGTCAACTTGAACACGACATCATCGAATCTTCCATTCCTGTCAGGCGAGTTCGGGTTCGTGGGGAAGACCTCAGCAAACATGGCAAAGTCGTAACGTATAGCCGGATTTGAGATCTCAGTCCAGAGCAAAGGTGCCTTGTCTGATCCATCATCTTCGGGTTGGGGGTATGATTGCAAGGCCAGTGCAGTGTTGTATGGGAGTGTCTTGAAGACGCCAAAGGATGTATGCCTGTGACTCTGGGCAAATCTGGAATGGTCCATCAGGCTGCTGACGAGCTGTTTGAGAGTCTGCACTTCGGGCAAGCCAACTCGACAAGGCACAACAGAAAATGTTGGGCCGTGGACAAATTGATCGTGACCTGAAAGAACGCTGCCAAAGGTCACGTCATCTGTGTCTGCCTCGGAGAGGATGTGTAGAAGCATGGCCCAAGACGCTTGGAGAATCGTGAGCGGAGAGCCTCCCAGTGCCCTGCTCTTACTCTCGAGAAGCTCCCAAGGAATCGGACTGGTGTGTTGTACCATGGCATGTTGACGAGTCTTGGTTGAATTCGGCTTGACGTTGTTACCACTGATGGCTCCGAGTGGCTCAGTCTCCCATCCTTCCAGAGCCTTCTGCCACAGTTGGTCTGTCTCTGGGTTGACGTTGCATGCCCATTCAAAAACGGCATCGTAGATTCCTTGACGTGGAAGTGGTCCAAAACCGGCGTATTGACGAGTGATGTCTGCCATCAGCACTTCAAGTGAAGGACCATCGCAGATGCAGTGAGCAGTGCTGATGATCAAAAGAGCACTAGTGTCAGCCTCCTCGGGATCAATGATCTGTACATGGTACAGTCTATGCGACTCGAAGCTGAGATCCTCCTCCGCCAGGTCTAGCCAGGTTTGCGCGTCGCCAGAAATACTATCAGCGCTGGCTCTCCTGAGAGCAATCCGATCAGAGTTGTCGCTTGATCTCTGCCATGCGTCTGGTGTCAAAACAACTTGGAGGAACGGGGAAAGAGCGTCGTCACAGGGAAGCATTGCCGTTCGATAGATGGGCTGTCTCGACATCGTCACCTCAATGGCGTCCCTGAGAGCTGGTACAGAGACATCTGGCTTGAGTCTGAGCATGGTATGGCTGATGTAATTGCGCTTGTCCATGGCAAAGCTCACAGCCAATTGACTCTGGGTGCTAGTTGCGGGCAGAATCATCTCAATTTCGGGCTTGGCGAGGTTGAGTTTGTCCAGGACCTCCGATGTATGCTTCGTGGAGAATGCCTCAAGTTGAGCCTTTGTTCTGGCTTGCTTGCTAGCTTTCGTGGCTGAAGCATCAATGTCTTGACTGCTAGGGAAGAAGATCGAACGGATTGTCGCGCTGTTGTCGAGGAGAAGTGCCAGTGAGGGTTCAAGTTGAGGGTTCCGGGATGCTGGCCATCGCTTCCTGATGTCTCGCAAGATCCTCATTGCACGGAGACTGTCAATGCCGGCTGCGACGAGGAGTGTCTTTTCTGTGATGGCAGGGCCTGAAGTTGAGGAGTCGCTGAGAACATTGTTCACGATTGAGATGAGCTCCTGCTCAAGCTCAGCATCCTGGGGATCCGCTAGAGGCTCAATGCTCTGAGACAGGTCATGGTGGGTAGGCACTTGGCCATCAAGGTCAGTATTCAGCATCTCATTGACCAGTGCCAAAGCTGCTTTGCGATCTGCCTTGCCAGAAGCAGATCTCGGAAGTGCGTCGACTTGTAAAATCTTGAAAGGTCTCATGTAGTCGGGAAGATGATGCTGAGACGCCTCCAAGCACTCCTGGTGTACAGTCTCGAAGTTCTCACTTGGATCAACGACGATCAGACTCACGACCTTCTCTGAACCTGCCTCTGCACCCTGCTTCCACACGCAGGATAGAGTCTCCTTGACACCAGAGACCTTGCTGGCCAGAACACTCTCAATCTCACCCAACTCAACACGTCGTCCACTGAGCTTGACTTGATCATCAGAGAGTCTGCCTAGGAATTCGACCATGGGAGAGCCGCCCTTGTCCCAGACAATTCTGGCCCTGTCACCAGTCTTGTAGACGCGGCCCCATCGAGAGTCATCTCGGAATGCCGTGGCTGTTTCGTCTGGGCGATTCAGGTAGCCCACATTGCTAACTTGAGGTCCAGTGATGACGAGTTCGCCTACTGCACCCATGGGGACGGGCTTGAGGCTCTCGCCAGTTTGAGGAATTGGCAGGGGCTGAACAATAAGAACGCCACAAGTTGCTAACGGTGTTCCGATGACGGATCCGCGCTGGCCTTCAGGCACATGAGCTTGCGCAATACAGTAAATAGCCGCCTCGGTAGGTCCGTATCCGTTGTAGATACCTCGGGGTGCTTTGCCAGGTTCCTCCTTCACTGTCGGGTTATAGGGAGCAAAGTTCTGGAGAAGCCGAGCATTCAAGGTCTCACCACCGACCATAAGCCCACTGATTGATGAGGGATCGAGCAAGTTGGCGAAGCTAGGCGTGATGTTGGTGATATCAGCCTCCAGAGTAGTAACAACCTTGTCGATGTTTTGTAGAGTGAACTCTCGAGGCGCACAGCAGAGCGTTGAGCCAGTACTAAGAGTCCAAAAGATCTCGAATAGGGAGATGTCAAAGGTAGGTGCAGCGCCTTGAAACCACCGGACAGGTTTGGATGTAGGAGATGGTTGGGGAAAACGGTAGTGGGCGCTTAGGGCAGAGATGGTGCATGAGGCCGAGAGATGACTGACGGCTACTCCTTTGGGCAATCCAGTTGTTCCTGATGTGTACAAGATGTAGGCCAAGTCGTCCGCGCTCATTGTTGCAGGTGTTGGCTGTTGCTCTGGTTCAGTATCGCAAGCCTGGAGGAAGGGAGTGACGTCGATAGTCTCTGACGAGGAATCGATAAAAGAGGACGACTCTAATTTCAGCAAGGACGTTGTTGTAAGCAATGCAGATGGCTTCAGGTCTGCCATCAAAGCCTCCTTCCTCTCTCTAGGCGCATCCACGGCGATGGGACAGAAGGCTACTCCCGCCTTCAGAGCTGCCAGATACGAGATGTAGAGTTCTGGACATGGTCCGATGAGTACTGCGACTGTCTTGAGAGCCTGCGTTGACTCCTCACAGGCCTTCACAACCTTGACTGCCAATGCTGTCGCTGCGTTTGCGACCTGACGATACGTAAAAGTCACGCGACTGCCACTTTCGAGGTCCGTTAGATAGTCGATAGCAATGCTCTCAGGTCTCTCTGCCGCACGCCTCTCAAAACATCGGTGCAGAAGTGAACTCTTCACACCATTGTCGTTTGAAGTCACGTCTTCAAGAGAGAGGGACAGGGGCTCAGATCGTGGGGGAAAGTTGAGGACAGACGGCTGAGTCCATTCAGGGCTTACGTGATGCCCTCGGTGCAACTCAGTGATAATGTCATCTAACATGCAGCCAAGAGCCCCCAGGGCAGCCTCAGGGATGATACTGGCATCCGTCTTGAGTTGAACTTCGTGTTCTTCAAAGTGAAGTTGAAGGATCTATCGAGAACATCAGCATACAAATGAACCCCTGACTTAATGAACTAGCATTTTCACTCACCTTGCCTTCACCAATAGAGAAATCAGATGGAATATCTTGATGATTCTCAGGGTTAACGAAACGGAAGCTACCAAGCTCGTTTCTCTCAGAACTCGAATACTGAGCCAAGATGAAACCACCTCGCTTAGTATCTTGAATACAAAAATTCTCCTCTTCATCAAGAACGACAAGATGAGATACAAGCTTCACAAATGCCTTGATGGCGGTTTCTTCATCAGGTCTTGGCTCGACAGAGCTGGTCCAGCTGATTGGCTGAGATGCCTCTATCGATTGTTGTTGAGTATGCAGTGGCCGAAGCTGCGTAACAGGGGGCCGTGTCATAGACATTGCGTTATCCATGGTGTTGATAGTATCCTTGTCTTACACCGTGTAACAGCTGTACGGTAGTTCGTGATACTCTGCCGTGGTGTTTACCAGATCATCAATAGACACAGGGTCTCTGTCGCAAACCACCAAATTACGTCGGCCGTTATCGCTCGGCAATCTTAGCACGGCACTCAAGCACACTGATGACGATGCCCACCTCAATGAAGCTAGAAACTTTCCTCCAGCACAGTGTGTCATGGCGTATGGAGCCAAAAATGGTAGGTAGTTACAGTGTCCATATTCGGTGAAACGTCCGATCCCTGCTGACACCCATAATTCATCTCGGCCAGCGTAACGCAGTGGGGGGCTGATGATCTGATAAGATTACGGTTACCTACAGTGCAAACAAAAATAAGCTCGGTTAGCCCCGGGGACTCAATGCAGCCAACTCCTAGCAAGTTTTACGTTATTTTTCCGAAGATCTTAGCCACAATCGCAATAGCTGCATCAGATAATTCTTGCTCATCACGGTCTATACGAAGTTACGTCATGGAAATTACAATTGCAAAAAAGAATGTCTCAAATTTTTCAGGGTCCGGTCTGTCGATCTACCATGCTAATGGAACTAAAGCGCCCCCCGTTTTAGACAAAATGCGCCTCCTGGAAAAATCGCTCACGCTGCAGGGCGAACAGCATGGCCGTCTTGTGCGGCAGGTGGAAACGCTTCTTCCTCTCCTGCGGCAAAAATCTGTCCTGGATCTGAACGTGGTTAAGATCGTATTCGGGCTCAGCTATCACCTGCTTAGTGCGAGGATCGCGCAGGAAACAGCAGTGCTTGATCGACGTGGCGACAGCCTGATACCGTTTGCCGCCACGGAAACGCTCTTCTCCCACTATGATGTGTGAGTTTTGGTCGTGCTCGCCCACTGTGATGTTGCAATTGGACCCAAAGAAGCACGCTGCGTTGTCCTCCATGACCCATCCAATCTCGGTGTAGCCTGCGAGTTCTCCGTCCCACTCAAACACACATGACATGGTATGGGGGTCTTCTAATTGCTTGGCAAGGTATGCTCGATGATGCTCGTCTGGTCCACGCTCTTTCCATGCCTTGTTGACTCGGTCTGAGTTTTGCCATCGCTTGTAGGTCTCGAAGTGGACGGGATTGGATGCGTCGATGTGTCGGATTTGTAACTGCTGACCAAGCTCGACGATGAAGCGGGAGTAGATGACAGTGCCTGGCTTGGGCTTGGGAGGTCGAACGGGATGAACGGTGCAGACGTTTCCCTTGCGTGTGAAGCCCAATTGGTTTGCGAAGACACCCATTGTGCCATTGAAGCCTGGGAATGATGTCACTTCAGGTCGTGATTGAAGCCAGTGCTGTGAGTCTGGTGCTCCAGCGCCTTGCCAGAATGCATCGTGAGAGAGCCAGTAAATGGTCTCTCGGGGAGTTGTAGTAGGTGAAAATGGCGATAGCACACCTAAGCCAGTGCACTTGATGTATTCGCCAATTCTTTGACTGTCGACCGAGATGGCTATCAAGTCATCGTCCCTGTGATCTGGGTGCAGCCACAGAGCGTAGACAGACGCCCAGGTCAATGCGAGGTCTTGCTGCCTACCGTGAGATGCAAAAGGCGAACGAGGATCAGCGACGTCAGAGTTCAAGATCTCCAGCTCAAAGACAGGACCGAATTGAGCTCTGTTGTCATTGACCATGGCTGGCGATATTCTGGTCTCTCGACCATCCATTGACCATCGCGCCAATGTTGTGTCGCCAGATCCAACGAGGTAGTCATTTCCATCGCCATGACCAGTATTGGCAATCCAGATATTGGTTTCGCCGTCGGGGAGTCTGAACGAGGTTTCTTTAGAAGTGTCCCAAGCTTCTTTTGGTGGCGTCGGGTTACGTGGGGGAGCAACGGAAGTGATGCGGTCAGTAGTCATGCTGGGCAACGGCGTCTATAAGTGTTGTTAGTTGGAAGCCAAGACGAGGACAAGATAACCAAGTGGACTCACAAAGATAACGATAATGATCAATGAAGAATGATTGCTGGATTTACGAATGCCTAGGAGTCTTATCGACAGAGAAATGGAAGCAGGCAAGGAGTTTTAATACAGATTACCTTCACTCTGTTTGGTCAGCTTGATACGAAGATCATGCTCAAAAGAGTTACTAGTCTAACTTCTACGTTTCATTCACAATCTCATTCAGCTGCGGCCGATGAGGCAGTTCATTATGTGACACGACATGCGTGCCCCAGATGATTCAATCCAGGGTAGCTCAACCAAGCTTCAATGTCTCACATGAGCCAACTTGTCCCAGCCTGACCTCGGAGGATTCCTACCCTGTGCCCTTTTCCAGCAATCTCATTCCGTTATTCACCATCATTTTACAGGAAATAATTGTAAGCACAGCTGGTACAAGAAACCGACGGAGGTCCTCGGTAAAGAAACCGTCCTAAATGAGAACGAAAAACCCACCAACGTCATATGCCACCAAAACTTTTATGCTCGCAACGAGCCGCCTTTCACATGCCGTCTCTGATAGGTCAATCCTTGACACATCGTGCATAGGTCGCTATGAACTGTGTGGAGATCGGCATTTCTTTTCCCCTTTCAAGTGGGATGAAATGCCGGGGTTAAACTCGAACGAGGAAGCCGACCGTAAGCTTATTTAATTTCCTTGCTTCGTATCCACTGCGGCACGTTACGTAATCGGAAAGCGGTTAAGCAATTCACAGTGAGAAAGAACAGGCTGAACAGGATCCAAGACTGGAAGAGGCAGCCACCGAGATCAACGGCCTGAGGAAGGTGATGGAAGCAAAGACACTTGAGGCGTCCGCTTTTGCATCCACTCATACGCCTCTTCGCGTATAACCTGCAATGTAACCCTGAATGGAATTATTGCCGATCTGCACACCCTACGGAACGGGTATCCACACAGTTTTTGGATCCTGCTTTGGGAGATCCCTCCGAATACGGACCTACAAGCATGAAGCGCACGCTGGCTCTTGGCCGGCCTGGACCTTGGTGACAGAGCCATCGATGTCCCATTCGCCAAGTGAAACTCATTCGAGGAGCAAGTTTGGCCTCAACCACCATGGCGAGCAACGATGGGAAGAGCTTCCCCCCAAGGAAGTGGTACAGAAGAGTGCCGTTCCTATCAGCCAAGCCAATACAGCAGAGACTTACAGCGCCAAAGGCCCCTACGCCAGGCAATGTCGAGCATCAAAATGAAGACAAGCTTCCTCTGCCAGAGCTTCAGGCAAATTGGCTGTCGATTTTGACCTTCAACTGGCTAGGACGTCTTTTGCGAACGGGCTATACAAGACCTCTTCAAACAGATGATCTGTATGACATGCCCAGCGACAGGTTGGCAGAAGATCATGCAAATCGCCTGGAAGAAGCTTGGGCTGCAAGACTTGCTGCAAATCGAGGACGAAAGCCTGTTACTTCATCGAATCCGTTCTCATGGAGGCCGTTCTGGGCAAGACATACAACTGATACAACTGTCTTGACCTTGGCTCTCAATGATGTGTGCTTCAAATGGTTCTGGCTTGGCGGACTCGTCAAGTTAGCTGGAGACTTGTCGCAAATTTTATCGCCTCTTCTCATCAGATTCCTCATCGCCACGTTGTCAGACTCATCGCAACAAGGCCTTCGCTCAGGCTTTGGCTACGTCGTTGGACTTTTTCTTCTTCTTGTCTTCTCGGTCACCTCAAACGTTCATGGCTTCTATCGCTCCTACACGACCGGCGTCTTGCTCCGTGGTGCGTTGATGCACGTCATTTACCGAAGAGCCACGACGCAGCTCAGCGAAAAGGCCAAGCTCAAACATGGTCTCGGTACTGGAAAGCTCATGAGTCTCATCAGCGCTGATGTGACGCGAATTGACTTTTGCTGTGGCTACTTTCACGTCGCATGGACGAGTATCTTCCAGATGCTACTATGCTTCGCCTTGACCGTGTGGACAATGGGATACAGCGCTCTGCCAGGATTTGGTCTTCTCGCGTTACTGTACCCTCTTCAGTCTTTTATGATGGGTCGCTTACTTCGCCTGCGACGGGGCAGCATGCCTTTCACTGATGCCCGAGTCAAGGCTGTCGTTGAGGCAGTTGCTGCTATTCGCCTCGTCAAAACAAACGCTTACGAGGAGAGTTTACTTTCCAAGATTGGAAAGTTGAGGTCTGATGAAGTTGTGTATATCCGTAAGAGAATGCTTCTTAGAGCTCTCAACACTGCGGTCTCTTACACGGCGCCGACTCTTGCTTCGGTCGTCAGCATTGTTTGTTATGGAGCGACTAGCGAGAATGGAATGGACGCAGGCGTTGTCTTTTCTGGCCTTGCATTGTTTATGTTGTTGAGAACACCTCTCCAAGCTCTTCCTACTGCTCTGTCGGCTATTGCAGATGCTAGAGCTGCACTGGAGCGACTGGCGTTGTTCATGCTTGCTTCCGATGTAGACCCAGATTCATCTTCATCCGGTCCTCAAACCAGCTTTGGCTACTCTGGTGAGGAGGAGGAAGCGTCTGATGCCGTGATCCGAATCGAGGACGCCACTTTTGCATATCACGACGATGCGCAGCTTCTGGCAGCGGAAGAGGAGAAAGATGCCCTACAGAACCAGTCAGAGAGCAAAGCGATAAGTCAGAGCCAAAGACTATGGGTCGACTCGTTGCTGGTGAAACGCAACCAGTTGGTCTGCATTGTTGGAGCGGTTGCATCGGGCAAAACCTCGGTCTTGAAGGCACTTCTCGGTGATATGCATCTCATCCAAGCGCGTTCCTATCAGCTCAGCCTAACGGCTTCTTCATCTCAGATTGCCCTAGCCCCGCAAACGGCATGGCTTCTGAGCGAAACGGTGAGAGAGAACATCGTCTTTGGTAGACCTCTCGACCTCGCGTGGTATGATGAGGTTCTCACACGCTGCTGTCTCCATCAGGACATGAAGGCTTTACCTGACGGTGACATGACAGTCGTTGGCGAGAATGGCGTTTCACTATCTGGCGGCCAGAAGCAGCGTGTCAGTCTTGCTAGAGCGATCTACGGCAGAAGTCCACTCCTCTTTCTTGATGACTGTTTCTCGGCTCTGGACGCTCACGTTGGTGCTCGCGTTTTCGACATGGTCGTCAATCAGGCACGCCGCAATAATGAAGGCACCATTGTTTTGGTTACACACTCGATTCCGTTCGCTCGACAGGCTGATCACATCGTCTACATGGAAAAGGGTCGCGTCGCTGAGCAGGGCTCATTTGAGCACTTGTCCAGCCAGAACGGAGCCTTTTCGCAGTTCGCAGGATCCTCATCTCTGGTCTTGGACTCGGACTCAGATTCTGAAACAGCAGGTAGTGGTGATTCAGAGAAGGCTGTGCCTGATGAATCCAGCACGGAGGGTACACCGGCAGATACAGCCAAGCCTGATACCAAGGACAAGCAGGCAATCCAGACTCGCGGCAAAGAGGTGATGCAGATTGAAGAAAGAGTAGTCGGTTCAGTCAGCGGCCGAACCTACATCCGCTATGCACAATTTGGCAACGCTTGGCTCACAGTCCCTCTTCTCATTCTTTCCATCGCTATCTACCAAGGAACCAGTGTTGTCTCACCGCTCTGGCTCAGCTGGTGGCAGAAGAACCAGTACTCCACCATATCTGAGGACGCATACATGGGAGGATACGCCGCATTTGGAGCTGGACAATCTCTTGGTTTGTTCTGCATGAGCGCGACATTTGCGTTGTTCTGCTTCTGGTGCTCCAACAAGCTTCATCACGCATCCATGTCCAAGGTACTTCTTGCGCCTGTAGCTTTCTTCGATACTACACCTCAAGGCCGTATCACGCATCGATTTAGCAAAGATGTTGATGCAGTGGATAACGTGGTTGGTGAAACTCTGCGTCTCTTTATCTCGACCTTTGTCCAGGTCTTGGGCACAATCATTGTCGTCAGTATCATTGTACCAGCCTTTCTGGCCATCGCAGCCGCCTTGCTGCTCATCTACACCTGGACTGGCATGTACTACCGTCCATCTTCGCGAGAACTTCGTCGACTTAACAATTTGCTTCGAAGTCGCATCTATGAGCATTTCGGCGAGTCACTCTCAGGTCTTCCCACTCTCAAGGCCTTTGGCGCAGTCCCTCGTTTTGTCAATGACAACGCGCGCAAGATTGACACGGAGAACACGGCTTACTGGCTATCGGTCTCTTGTCAGCGCTGGCTGAATCTCCGTCTGGACCTTTGCGGTGCGACTCTTGTTCTGGCTGCAGGTTTACTGGTTGTTGGACTTCGCGGTACCATTGACCCTTCGTCTGGCGGTGTAGTCTTGTCCTACATTGTCACGGCTCAGGCTGTATTTGGCAACATGATTCGTCAGAGCGCAGAGATTGAGAACAACATGAACTCGGTGGAGAGAATGCTTCACTACGCCTACAACATTGAGCAGGAGCCTGCGCATCAAGTCGATGATGTTGACGAGGAACTCAAGTCCCGCCAATGGCCGCATGCTGGTCATGTTCAGTTTCAGTCTTTTACCCTCAGCCATCGTTCTGGACTCGAGCCTGCACTCAAGGATGTCAATCTGGATATCAAGGCTGGAGAAAAGGTCGGTATTGTCGGGCGTACTGGCGCTGGCAAGACAACACGTAAGTGCCAAGGAAAGTCCCTTTAGCCGACCGTCTACTAACATTTGAACAGTAATATCTGCATTGCTACGAATCACCGAACCTACAAGTGGCCGAATCCTCATTGACGGAGTCGACATTCACACCGTCGGTCTTCACCTTCTTCGATCAAGCCTCTCCGTCATCAGCCAGGATGCCGTCCTTCTAGCTGGCACCATCCGCTACAACCTCGATCCTTTCCAACAATACGACGACGAGTGGTTGCAACAATGCCTTGACCGCGTTGGGCTCGGCCAATCCTCGAAAGAACAAGATAAAGAAGCAGAAGAAAATGAGAAGCATGAGTCCGAGTCCAGCAGTGAGGGACCAAGTCTGAACTTAGACTCAGAGGTCAAGGAAAACGGTTCCAACATCTCCCAAGGACAAAGGTCTCTCATTTCTATTGCTAGAGCGCTCGTTCGGAAGTCCAAGATTGTGATTCTGGACGAGGCAACGGCCTCTATTGATGGCAGAGCAGACGCGAAGCTTCAAGCCATGTTGAACGAGGTTGTTGGAGACGCAACTGTCCTTACTGTGGCTCATCGATTAGATACAATTGTTGCTACATGTGACAAGGTTGTCGTGATGGACAGCGGCAGAGTAGTTGAGTTTGACACTATCTCGGAGCTGTATGCCAGTCCAGGCACTGTGTTTAGATCTTTGTGCGATGCAGCAAAGATTTCCATTTAGTCATAGTCTTCACAAGCAAATACTTCAGTTCATGCCCATAGACGTTCTACCTAAATCTACTTAATTTGATGCTTCACTCGCGATTTCGGTCACGCGACAAGGAAGCTAAAGTCACTTGGGATTGCCACTGCGACAACGGAGTACCATAGATTGATAAGATCGTCTGATGTGATGAGAAGCCACTTACGTGCATCAGATTGATAAATGAACGATCTGCACTCGCCAAGACGAATGATCATGGGAATGTTGCGTACCAATGTTACATGAACGACGTAAAAGTTATTTTTGCAACCCTGAATTATCACCGCTGCCAAGTCGTCGGTATTGATCCAGGTATAGGGCCTCAATTTAGGTGAAGTTAATGCATTATAGTTTCTAGGCAAAACGTCACGAGCCGAAGCATGAACGGGATAGCTTCTCATTGAGTTTGAGCCCGTAACATCGGAAAGGTACGGATCAAGAGATCTTCATGATGGACAAGCAATTGGCCACGCTGGCAACACTTCATGATCTTAGCTTGTGGTTGATAGAACCCCTGATTTGTCAAGAAAACTTTGCCTCTCCCGTGAACCAACCAACGCATGTGATGCGTCGGCGAGTTCCCTCTTCTTGGAATCTTGATCCATGGTTACAACTGCATCAGAGACATGCTAGTCACTGCATGGAGCCAGGGATATTCTACTGTTTGTATAAATGTGTGATATACTGTGCTCTTAGCTCGACAGGGCAGAGATCTGCATCCCGTCCCACACTACGGCCGATCCCTACTTGCACGCGACCATCTGATTAGATGGGCGACCAGTTGATAATCTTGGCTACCAACCAACGCAAGTGGATATGAACAAGATCTGATAATTTTTCTTTGACAAGCCGGACGAACAAAAAAAGACTCACCGATTTCTGGTCCTCCCACGCCTTGGCTAAACCCCACTCACGCCGGAGTATCAGCACTACTGTCGTCCGTTGTACGCGAGCCGCGGACCGGCGAGCGAGGGGTCCTGTCATTAGTACCTTGCACACTGTCTGTTGGTTCTGTGTTTTCCTCTCTGCGAAATGGGGGCGACCAAACAGCTTTTGGAAGCTGTCGTAAAAAAGTCAGGCCAGACGGCACTACCGCTGCAGATTGAAGACTTTTCCCTTTCTTCTTCTCCCGTTTTATTCGCTTCCTTTTCCCTTCTTTTAATGCTACGTTGATCTACCGTCTTGGAGCGATCTACAGCTCATTTTCGTCCCTCCCAAAATGTCAGCGCCTAAGCACCCCGAGGGCAGTACTGAGTCCCCCGCCCAAAACACATCGCAAATGTTCGAACTCAACGAGAAAAAAGACTACGACGCGTCCAACTCGCCCGTCTCCGACGATGATGCCCACAAGGAAATCGGTGTAGGAAGGGTCGAGGCCTTCAACAAGGTCCTCTACCAGTCTGGCAAGAAGGGCAAGATCCTGCTCTGGCTTCTTGGTATCTCCATTGGTCTTACCATGTTCGCCTACGCTCTTGACATGGGTATCACGACTACAATCTTTGGAACGCTTGCGGCTTCGACTTTTGGTGTTCATAGTCAGCTCGGTACTGTCAATACGGCTGGTCAGATCATTCGTGCTATTAGCAAGCCTTTCATTGGAAAGCTTGCTGATATTACTTCTCGGCCTACCACTTACGTCGTGGTGCTTGCTTTCTATGCTGTCGGCTTTGCTGTCGCTGCTAGCGCCTCGGGCTTCACTGCCTACACTGTTGGTATCTGCTTCACCTCAGTCGGCAAGTCTGGTCTTGATCTTCTCAGCGACATCATTGTCGCTGACTTGACTCCTCTCGAATGGCGAGGCTTCTTCAGTGCTTGCCTTTCTCTACCCTTCATCGTCACTGTGCCTGTTAACGGCTTCATCGCTGATGGCTTCTATGAAGATTGGCGATGGGGTCTCGGCATGTTCGCCATCCTCGTTCCCGCCCTTCTCGTCCCTGCCATTCTGACCCTCTATACCATGCAGCGACGTGGTGAAAAGGCCGGAATGGTCACCATGGCCGATTCCAAGGACGTTCGAATGGGTCGCACTGAGGCCACGCCCAAGAACCTGACCTATTGGGCCAAGCTCGCGTACCGTGGTCTAATTGACATCGACATTGTTGGTCTTATTCTGCTTGGCTTTGCTTTCTCTTTGATCCTTCTGCCTATCACCTTGGCCAAGAGCGCAAAGGGCGGATGGAACAACCCAAGCATGATCGCCATGATCGTCGTTGGCTTTGTTGTTCTCATCTTGTTTGGTCTGTATGAGATGTATCTCGCCCCCAAGCCCATGATGACCAAGCGCATTGTCAAGAACCGTGCCTTTGTTGCTGGTGTTATTATTCACATCTTCAACCAGATGGCTTCTTCTGTTCGCAACACCTACTTCTCGTCTTACATCCTCATCATCAAGGAGTGGACTACATACCAATGGACCATCTTCCTTGGAATCACTACCATGGGTCTCTGCTTGGTCGGCCCTGTTGTTGGATTGATCCATCGTGTCTCCCATCGCTACAAGGGTCTCATGATCTTTGGTGCTGCTGCCAGGATTCTTGGCTATGGTCTTCTCATCAGCCCCAACGGAATGATGACCCAGGACACTGCTCGCCTCGTCGCTGCTCAGCTCATCTTCTGCCTTTCTTCCCTCAACGTCGTTGGTGCTCGAGTTGGTGTTCAGGCCTCTGTTCCCCATGATGACGTTGCTTCTCTCATCTCCATCATCACTTTGTGGTCTACTCTTGGATCCAGTATCGGTAGTGCTGTTGCGACGAGCATCTGGACTGAGGAGATGGTGGCTCAAATGCATGTCGAGATGCCCGATGTTGACGACACCACCATCGCCACCATCTACGGTAACATCAAGACTCTCAAGACGTATGACTTCTTTGACCCCATCCGTCAGGGCTCTATCCGCGCCTACGCCATCGTCAACGGACACATCACCATCGCTTCCATCTGCTTGTCCTGCATTCCTCTCATCGCTTCTCTCTTCATGCCCAACTTCTACCTTGGCAAGCAGCAGAACGCTGTCAACAACAAGGGTCTTGATGGTGAGGTTGTCGATGTTCCAGACCAGAATGGACCGAGAGACGCAAACGCGACTCAGCAAGAGCCTGCAACATTCATGCAGAAGCTGGCTGCTTTGTACCGAAAGTAGATACTACCAATCTTTGAATGTGAGGTCTTAATGAGAGACCAGAAGGGAACTCTCTGGGCCATGGGATGAGGCTGCCAACGGGGCGTTCTCAGTCACCAGTATCTGACGCTCACTTACCAGAACATTACCCAGAATTATAGCTACAACTACCTTAATACTATCACTACAGCTCACATTCAGTGGGTTTATAGTCAAGTTCAACCATTCGCGTGTATCCTCAATTTTGCCTCAGAATGTGACTAAATGTTATAAAAACTATAATTTCTGTGGCGCCAGATTTGTAGTATGCAACGCGTTCATGAAGTCAACACGCACCGAGCTTTAGTGCCAAGAGTTGATCAGCTGTTTTTCGTACACTAAGCCCAAGACTGTCGGAATAACTGATAAACCCGTGATGCCGACCCACTGAGGTGATTATCTGATCATCTGATAACGATTTGGTCACCGTGACTATCATGATCTCTAAAACCTCCAAACTTCACATCAGGGCCCAATATGCGGTATTGGAGGAACAACGCGGCATTCATTCTTGCTGCCAGCTTTCTCGGTCATGGTGACGTTCTGGCTACCTCAGATCATTGCGGGAAAGCTTGCCGACAAACGTTTCGAACTCTCCGATTTGCCGATGCCCCTCCGGGCGTCTTCTTCACGGTACAAGAATGCACAAGCCTCATTTACCAGAAGTCGCTTCATCTTTGCTGGGAAATACATTGCGCAGAGGATGTTTGGCAGGCAGAGTCTGCCTCAATGAACCTGACATGTCACGATATCAGTGGTTCTTATCTTCCGCCACACAATATCATTGATAACCTCACAGATCATGACATCCAAGCCATCACAAGATTCAACGCCACAAGTCCTGATCGTTCTCACGTCTATGGAGTTTTAATGCTTCCATCACAGACCTACTATGATCTTTGGGTCAGCACGCTAGTGAGTATACCAATCCAAATCGGATGTTGTTTTATATTAAACGGGTTCCAATAGGAGGCGCACGATTACATATGGGACTACCACAACTATTACGGCTGGGCTATGGGGATATTCTGGGGCTTGGTCATCGGAGTGGGCATCGTGAATCGGGCTTTAGGCCAATTCTTCTCCATTCAAGGTCGAAAAAGATCGTGGGTCAGCCGCAATATACTTCTACCTGCAACCCTTGGCAGACGCTGCGTACAGGACTATGGGGGCTGGGGTACCTTGCCTCCGCGGATGCAGACATTGACTCTCATTCTTTTCGTGCTCGTCAACATAGCATGCAGTATACATGGATACGAGATATTTGAAGGCTATGGCTAGTGAGTTTCCGAGCTGTTAGATTTAAAAGACATGCTGACATCCGAGTTCCCAGCTACCCTTCTGTTTGGACGCAAGTGCTGCGACACGTATCTGATAGAACAGGAATTCTCTCTTTTGCCAACTTCCCGCTGATATGGCTGTTTGGGATGCGGAATAACATCGTCATCTGGTTGACAGGCTGGGACTTCAAGACTTACAACAACTTCCATCGATGGGTTGGCCGGATTGCGACTTTACAAGCCGTAATCCATTCAATTGGATATAGTGTCATAATTCTACAACGTGAGATCTTGGGTCAGCTTCATAGCTATATTTACTGACTTTTGTAGGTGGTGGTTGGAGGTACTTCTGTCAAATATGGACGTTCACCTTTTGGTGGACTGGAGAGCTGGTGAGTAGTTTGAGTCCACGACGCAGCTGATAAATAACCATTATATAGGCCACGATATTTATCTGCCTGCTTGTGGGCTTATCGGTGTTTTGGGTAAGACGTAAGAATTATGAGTTCTTCCTCATTGCACATATCGTCTTATCATTTTGGATCCTCGTTACCATGCTCGGGTACGTCAAATAATGTGAGCCCAAGCGGGACAGTATACTAACGACATACGCAGACATGTGTCAATATTTAGTGGTGCCTACGACCCTCTTGTGTGGGTTCCAGCACTGATCTGGCTACTCGATCGAATCATTCGCGGATTACGAATCATGGCCTTTAACCCAAAGTTCTGGGAGACGAAGGCCCTGATTACCTACAACGAAGATGCACATATGATCCGCGTTTCTGTTCCAACTTCTTCAAGTCTCTACAACATTGAACCAGGGACATTTTACTATCTCATGGTACTTAATAAGTGGAACTTTTGGGAGAGTCATCCTTTCACGGTAGCAACAATATCTCGATCTAGTCGATGCGCTACAGATACCTTGGACGAGGACGCGCCCCTGCTGAACTATGAACCCTCCTCTCGTGAACTGAGACCTACATTCGAAAAGTCCCACCAAGAAATGACCTTCTTGATCCGACCATATGATAGCTTCACTTCACGACTAAAGGAGTATGCCGAAGAAGAGCGCCCAAAGCCAGCTGTAGTACGCATAGCTCTTGACGGTCCGTATGGGAAGACTCTGCCTCTTGATCGCTTTGCAAAAGTTCTCTTCATTGTCGGTGGAAGCGGAATAGCGGTGCCGCTGTCATATCTTGAGAAACTCACGACATCCTCGAACAAGCCGTCAAGGATCGAAGTCCACTGGGCTGTGCGACAGTCAACTTTCGCCGTTGATGTCCTGAATCATGAATTGAGTGATATGCTCGGTAATGGCCGGGTAGAGATTGATATCTACCTGACCGGCGGCGATATTGATGGCAGAACAGCATGTGATGAGACCATCTACAGACTCACGAAGTGGAGGTCCAAACGACTGAACGTCGAACATATTATTGACAGAGCGTTGGAGGATGGAGACGAAGAGAGTATCGCAGTAGTCACAAGCGGTCCCGCCAAGATGGCTGATGAGAGTAGATGCGTGGTTGCGGCAAAGACAGTGCCGGCTTTACCGCGCATTGAGTATTTTGAGGAAAGCTTTCAGTGGTGATAACTGTAATATCTAGAAGCTCTAGAAGAACATGACTTGGTAAACTGAATAATCACGCGAGTATGACTAAGTGCATCGGCAAAGGAATGACCCTGTCACCGTTGCGCTCCGCTATGTAACGTTGTCGCAAACGCTCAGATGAGATAATCAGGAACAAAAGTTTCTGCGTTCCATCATCACACGTGGCCGTACCATACTCTTGGTAGACTACCGAGAACCCTATTGAATACTGTACGCAATGCCGATGAGGCTCAAACCATTGGGACTTATACGCCGAACTCGCAGCTTCAAATTGATCAACCCCAGTACGTCGGGACACTTCGGACAAAAGGAGTTCATCCGCTACAGTAGCAACCGCTATGGGCCTCAGTGACTCTCTGACGCTGTCATAGGGGCGTGTTGCATTAATAGCGGATACGGACAAAATCACCGAAATGCGCGAGCCGACTTGGGAGGTGGGGGTTAGCAAAGTGGCGCTTTTATGTAATTATGCTTAATTTTCACAGTGTTTCTTGGCCTTGCATACAGTGAGTTGTTTTCCTGTTGAGCTTGTCTCGGAACTGTGCTAGAACGAGAAAAGATCAACAGCGTGATCAGCTGTCAGCACTACCAGGGTAAGATTCTATCTTATCAGATGCCCGCAACAAGCTTTTCACGCTCGGAGATGGACCGGCAGTCGGAGGTGATCAACACTTTAGAAAGCCGTTGATGTCACTGTTGATGGCAGATTGATTGATAAAGATTAGATAAGATGATGCAGCCAAGTTCCAAGCTGCTATGGTGCTTTTGTGGGGTAAACGCTTTGAACAGGTTTTTGCAGATTGAACTTTGCATGACAAGCCCATTGTACATAGCTGCTGCAAGGTTTCTGATCTTGTGGTGGCTAAGCTCTGGGCGATAGGTCCAGAGAGAGTTATACTTTTGCCTCTGTCAATATTAAGCTTTTGTCAAGCTCAAAGAACTTTTTATACTGTCCTTGCTGTATGAGCTAGATATGTTGTTTGCAGTTGAGACGTTACTAAGTTCAGCGTGGTGGTATAAGCTTTCAGCAAAAGGTCTCAACGACAAATAATAAATCTAGGTCACAACTTAGACATTATACCACAATGTCTAACCAATTGCTGCAGGATAAGTGCTGATGCGAGAAGGTATTGCGAGGACACGTATGAGAGAAACCAAACTTGTTTTTTACTTTAAAGTCTAAACACAATTTGACATGCCCCGATTTGTCCCCAGGCGTATTAAACGTCTTTCTCATCTGGTACATAGCTTTGCTCTGCATTATAGGTTTTCTCTGTGAAAGCCAGGTAACACTTTTCGGGGAGGCGCATCTATCTCATTAAAATTCAAAATAACTTACCTTAGATGCATTTAACTCACCTTTTCATTCATTTCATTCTATGCGTCTTGTTTCCCTTTACATTCATTACCCCAGCCATCTCTCAAAGTCTATCTTGCATTGCAGATCGCGAAACGAAGCTCACTCTGATTCCATATCATGAGTCGCACCCTGAACCACCGCCATAATGGACTTCCTTACTCGACTTCCATTTGATCTTCGTGTAGAGCTCCTATCACAGATTGAAATGGGAACAAACATGCTTCCTCTCATGAAGACATCTCCACCTATGATCCCGGCATATTGCGACATCCGTTGTCGTTTCTACAAGGCGCTCTTCAACGAATGCATGATGCAGGATGCATTGGCCATCGTCTTCTTCCCATCCAGAATTGTTCCGTGGACAGAAGATTCCATCCGATTGGCTCTGATTAACAATTGGAGAGAGGGACAATTCGCAGACCATTTTAAAAATCACGACTATGTTACTATAAACTCGCTCGATAAACTCTAATCTCACCTTTCGACTTTCATCGAAGATTATATCACAAAAGCAACCTCAGAATTCCCTTAACGTGCTTACTTGGGCCTACCAGATCTGTCCACAACACAGGGTCAGCTCCTTTTTCACGGGAGGCTCATCAGCATTGAAGTTCTCAAACTCGACAAGCTCAGCCACTATGAAGTAGGGCGCTTGTTGAGCTTTTTGAGACATGAAGCTACTTGCAAATTCCACCGACAACATCGAGGATTTTACAACACGCGCGACTTTGACAAGTTGGTTTCATCTGTCTACGAAGAGCCACACGACTGGGAGCTCGAGGGTCTGCGAGCGGTCTACGACTATCTGTGAGGTCTTGATGGAGCGATTTGCGCCCAGTCCCTTGGCTCCTGGTTACCCGACCCTCCCAGTATACTTTCCAACGATTCAGAAGAAAATGCAGATAATGGGCTACTGTTCCCTGATGACAGTTTCTTCAATAGAGATCATTATCAAGGGGATCGCCTGGGTAGCATTGATCATGAGCTTAAAAAGCTAAGTATCTTAATAAGATATTGGTTTCAGACAGAGATTAGAAACCACTGTTAACTTGGATATTGACGAGTTTGCAAACTTAGGATTCGATCATATTACCAGATTTCTTATACTGTCAAAAGAAAACAAGGGCCAGCCACTGGCTATGATTAATTGGCTGGTCAGAAAATGTCAACCCATCGTTACAAGGTTCTCAAAATCAGATTACCATCGTCATCTCACGAACTTCGGTGGCTTGAAGGACCCAATGCCCCAACATATGAACCAATCTTCGAATTTGTATCAAACGTTACGGTGCAAAGTTCCTAGATGGGAGAATGGTCAAGGAAATTCGCTGAAAAACTAATACATTGCCCTACAAGCGGCTATCTACAGGCAGCGAGGGCGGGTGTTCTTCAACGATGCAAGCCATCACCAACTCCAAAGCGCTTCCCTGCACTTCCCATCGATTCAGAAGCTATGGAGTCAAGGGAGTGGTATATCACTCATGCATCATCACATGTCATGTCATGTGACGTTGGGCGACGCATTGAGCGTTGTGACATCGGTAGAGAGCCACATATGTTAGCAGATGAATGGGTTATCCACGAGCCGGTCAGTGAGCCAAATATGGATCAAACCCTGGAAGCAACTTATGTGGTTAACGATGATATAAATGACTTTCCTCCATTCAATTTACACTCAGGAATGTAGAGCATTTACATCCGTCAGAGTTTATTACTACCATCGTTTCACTCTGGCCAGGTCCACTTATCTCAATACTTAACAGAATGTCTTTGCCACATAAGTGTTTCTTCGGCATAAGCTGTCTGTTAGCTATCATAGAGGTACTGAAAGGGCTTGGGGTTATTGCCAGTAGACTCGAATAAGAAGTGCCATTATAAGTTTAATTAGGCCACCCACGTTGTTGCCAAGAAATTGTTTATATTACTACTTTAACTGCCATCAAGGTGTCTTACAGTGTTGTTATATGTTTATGACTGGTGAGCCATCCTTTATCCTCCCCAGCTACTAAGCTTGACCTGACCAACAGACCTATCGAAAGCTATTTGCAATCTTCTTGCATCAGCCTCATCTCGCATGAGTGAGACTCTTGAGTCCTTGGCGACCTGAGCCCCCATCGCCGATTTACTCATAACCTCTCATTAAAGTCAGTGAGGACACTATGGGTTGAGTAGAAAGCACTCTTGGGGTAATAGGTCTCGTTGAACATCAACGGCTTGGCTCCCGGGAGCCACGTGTACAAGTGCTTGTCCGTGAAGCCCCAGAAACTTATATCAGTGATGCCTGCGTCTAGAGCTTCCTTGACGGTGTCGCCATATATCTCGGCTTGTTGCGTTGCGTTATACGTATGAACATCCATTTCAGCAATGGTAACCTGGAGCCCAAGTGCTCTGTAAGATTCAACCATTTCTCGAATGACACCAGGTACCAAGGGCTCGAGGGTGATATGCATCTGCAGAGCGATCCCATCGATAGGGACGCCTTTGTGTACGAGTGCAGAAACCATGTCATAAAGTTCTTGACGCTTCTTTGGTTGCACCTCGACGAGATTCTCATTGAGAAACAGCTTGGCGTCTGGGTCTGCTGCTCGGGCTATGCGAAAGGCGTCCTCAACCCAACCGGGACCTAGGGTGTCGTAAAAGTGGTTCGGTGCCAAACCGCTACCGTTGGTCTTGAGGGCCTCGGAGACAACGTCCCATCGATCCATCTTACCGCGGTACCGATGCATAATGGCCTCAAAGTGATTGGTGATTTCAGCACGGAGGGCTTCAGGGGAAATTATGTTGAGGAGGTAATCTGAGTTACAGCATGGCGAAAGAAGACCATGGCCCTTGACTTTCATGTTATTGGCATCAGCGAATTTGACAAGACGGTCGAGCTTGTGCCAATCATATTGGCATTTGGCAGGATGGACAAAGGTCCACTTCAGCTCATTCTCAGGGGAGAGACTGTTGAACTGCTTGGAAAGGACGGCACGAAACTGAGAGTCGTTGAGATAGGATGGATTGATAGCCCCAGACCCCAAGAGCAGGTTATTCTTTGTGGCCTCTTCTCTCAGCGAGGTAGTGCCGGTGCTGGGAATGCTGGTTGCTTCAGCAAAGGCGACGAACGTTGCGATGATGGTCGTGAGTCTCATGTTTCTTTTGAGTGCGTGAAGGTCTTCTGCTTATGCGTGCTGTTATGCGGCTTCAACTTTACCACGTCCATACATCGTTGGGTATTTATAAGTTAGTAGTAGTTGTGTTTTTGTCTCGGTTTCAATCTTGCCCTCCTGAAAGATGACGCGTCAATTTTGGAGAACGAGGCAGTCTACGACACGGGAGTTGAAGAACGAGACCGAAATTGGTCATTTTGGCAAGCATAGCGGCGGCGGAAAGACAACTCTCGGTGAGCCGTAACCCGTAGATGGCGAAGTTAGTGGATAGCATGTACGCGGCAGAATTGTCTGATGTCGGGCAAATATCAGTCAGCATCTTCATGCAAGCATGCGATTGTGCTAGATCCGGCCGTGCTACCACCGGGCTCATTCACTGGCCCCGACCGCTAGTTTCCGATTAGTGGACTGTAGCTAAGTAGGTCTAGTATGCAATGGGAAAGGGGCGGTTCAATGAACGATGGAGAAGCAGAACGAGGAACGAAGTTGAACGAGGTTAAACGAAACCTAAATGGTAAATACGAACCAATCATATTGACCACAAAGATATTAACTTCACTACCGATGGTATCTGTGGCACTAAGTCCATCTCATTCGTCATACATTGCAATTTTCATCCGATAGCTCCTATTGTAACTTAGTGGCTGAGACGGTCTTAATTGTGGTTTCAGTCATAAACGAGGGGCTATACGGGTCTCAAGCAGCACACAACGCCTCTTAATGCATTATTGGTGTTAGCTGCGTCATGCACCACGGCTTCCCGATGAAAAGGAAAAAAAAGAAGAAAAAAACAGATAGAATTGGTTTATATAATCTGTCAAGGCGTCTCTCCGTCTACAATAAGCTTTCTGTTATTCTTTTCACTATCATCTTGACCATCTCATCCATGCTTGCCCTTTGAGCAAGATACTGCACATCGACTACAATGGCCGACAATAAACGGAAAACCATTCGCTATGAGCTCGCTGGGGATGATTCTCCATCACTCACTCCAGCCACCCCAACATCAGCTTATCAGAGCCTAAGAAATACAAGGAGTACCGGGGATCTTTCACACGCTGCAGAACTGCCCGGAGACTTCTCGTCAGAAAGCTCATCGCCGTATACATTCGCCAACTTTTTCGAGAATGATGTCAAAATTCAAGGTAATCTCTCCATATAATATGCCAATTAATCTGCTAATAGTGATCATAGACGACGCTCGTGTCGAGATTGATTGTAATTCCAAGTTCGTCCGCACCCTAAGCCGCCTCTACCAAACATCACCCGAGAAGTATGCGCAACCCGACACTCCGACTCCAGAATATACGGAATTCGAATCAAGAAGCAAGACATGGGCCACAAAGCTCAATATTGCTATTCAAGTTGTGGGCAGTCGAGGTGATGTACAGCCATTCATCGCGCTGGGAAACGAGCTTCAGCGACATGGGCACCGTGTTCGTTTAGCAACACACAATACCTTTGAAAGCTTTGTTCGAGAATCAGGACTAGAGTTCTATCCTGTCGGGGGCGACCCAGTTGAGCTGATGGCTTATATGGTGAAGAACCCAGGTCTGATACCTAGTATGAAGAGCTTGGCGGCTGGGGAGATTCAGGAAAAGCGTGATATGGTGCAATGGATGCTTGAGGAATTCTGGCACTCATGTTTGCAACCAGACCCATTGACTGGTCTACCTTTTGTGGCCGATGCTATAATTGCTAACCCCCCTAGCTTCGCGCACATACACTGTGCCCAGGCACTAGGCATTCCCGTGCATCTCATGTTCACTATGCCGTGGAGCAATACGAGAGCTTTCCCTCATCCGCTTGCTAATTTGAAAAACGTCGGAAGCGATCCTCAACTTGGGAATTACATCTCTTACACCGTGGTGGAGTGGATGACGTGGCAAGGGTAAGCTTATCTGTCGCCTGGAATACCCTTCAGCTGACGAAGTTCATGGTCAGGCTAGGTGACATTATCAACAAGTGGAGAAAGTCGATAGATCTAGAGGAGGTGGCTATGTTTGACGCTCCTATGCTAACGAAGACGTTGAAAATCCCCTTCACATACTGCTGGTCACCAGCCTTGGTCCCGAAACCTGTAGACTGGGAACCCTATATAGGTAGGTTTGAGATGCAGGATATGCCTTGCTACCGATAACCAACATTCTTATAGATGTCTGCGGCTTCTTCTTTCGCGATCCTCCTCAGTACTGCCCACCAACAGACCTTGCCCAATTCCTCCAAAATGGCCCGCCTCCGGTATACATCGGATTCGGCAGTATTGTCCTAGATAATCCTGAGAAGGTCATCGGTGTAATACTAGATTCGATCGAGGCCACTGGCGCTCGTGCTATCATCTCTAAAGGCTGGTCTGCTCTGGTTGGCTCTGAACAAGAAAACGTATACTGGATCGGGGACTGTCCCCACGAATGGCTCTTTCGGCACGTCGCAGCGGTCATTCATCATGGGGGTGCCGGAACAACAGCTTGTGGGTTGAGAAATGGAAAGCCAACAACTATAGTTCCTTTCTTTGGCGAGTAGGTCTAGGAGACTTCGATATCTGAGATGTCTTCTTTACTAATTTTCCAATTTATAGTCAGCCTTTCTGGGGACAGATGGTGGCCAACGCTGGCGCAGGACCCGCTCCGATACCTCATACAGAACTCACGGTCGACAAACTCGCTGCAGCCATTCGTTACTGTCTATCTCCACAGGCCGCAGCCGCAGCCGCGATCATAGCCGACAAAATGTCATCAGAGGTCGGGGTTCGTGCTGCTGTACAGTCGTTTCACAAAGGCCTCCCTCTGGAGCGAATTCGATGCGATGTAATCCCAAGTGAGCCTGCCGTATGGTCATATTCCAAGTCGAAGAACCCGATCAAGCTATCCAAGATGGCTGCAGAGATTTTAATATCCACCAATTCAATCGATAGTAAACACCTGAAGCCGTAAGTAACTAGCCTTGCTTACGTGATCGATCATTGGCATAGCCGCTGACTTTCTCTTTATAGGTACCAGAGCAACCCCATCCAGACCGAAACAACCAGGTGGGATCCTGTTTCAGGAGGCGCGTCTGCTGTTATGGCAACGGCAACCGGAATGGCTGGCAACATCACGGGCATCTTTACAAAGCCGATCGAGGAATACCGAGACGACCAGAAGCGACGCGCTGGAGAGCTGAAGTATACCCAGGGACGAGGTTCCCCATCCCTACAGGAAGGGTCTAGCGATAAGGATCATCTCAGCGTAGAGCGCCTCTCGAACGACTCCGTACGACCTAGGAGTGCGCACTCTGGACATCTCGCCGGTCGCATGGCTGGAGCTTCAGCTAAAAGCGCTGGTAAAATTGGCCAAACAGCCACGAAAGGCATGCTAGTGGATTTTCCACTCGCCATAACAGAGGGATTAAAATCGGTACCACAACTCTATGGCGGCAATGTACGCAATCATGGGCCAGTGACAGATGCCAAGAGTGGCATGGTAGTGGCGGGCAAGACATTTGCGTGGGGCTTCATCGATGGTCTAAGTGACGTTGTGGTACAACCATATAAAGGGGCGAAGAAGGAGGGTGCACTGGGTGCTGCTAAAGGGCTTGGAAAGGGAGCGATGAATCTGGTGACTAAGAGTGGTGCTGGAATGTTTGGATTGTTTGCATATCCCAGTGCAGGAATCAGCAAGAGTCTGCGTACAGCTACGCACGGCTCGACACGTAGGAAGATTGCCGAGGAGCGGCGTGCAGAAGGTATTTGGATGGTGAAGAGTGGGACTGGAGTACAGGTGGACTGTAGTAAAGTGTTGGAGGACTTTGAGCGTTTGAAACGAGATACATAGACTGGAATTCTGTAAATTCAAGGTCAGACTACTTGTATCACTAAAGTCTAAGGGTCTGGGGGATAATGATTTAAGAAGCCAGCTTAGCCCTTTTCTTACCTTGGTGGGGATGTTATGCTTGTCGCGGAGATGTGTTGTTATGCGTGATGGACCGTTGATAGTACGAATTTACAGCTCTCTAGTATAGATTTATTACAATTCGTCGAATTACCACAACGACTATGTACAGTAGGTTATAATGCTCGTAGCATTAATAAGGCCATAGTAATTGCCCCTGCAGCAGCTGTGCCTAAGATCCCGGTCGTGGTTATCCCAACTTCTCCCATGGCAAACCCGTAGAGTACACTGCAGATGTCCATCGAATCCGCCAAAATTCCGACCCACAGGGCCCTCTGAATGCTTCTATAACTATGTCAGATTCTAACGCGATGCTCATTGGTCTTCTTATTCACTACTGCATAAGCGGACTGGCCTTTTTCCTCCATCACTCTCCTTCCCATTTATTGCAGTGAACAAAAGGCCTCCGTTTATAGCTTCACGGGCACCCATCATACGCACTAGCAGCGCGTATGGAGCGGGCACATAGTAATCATGTAGCGAACATGTGAGCCGTGGTGCGAAGAAACAGGCTCCGCCTGTAGCGATCCGAACGATTGAGAGGACCTTAGTAGCGGTTACGAGGGTTGGCGAAAACGGCGGCGATGGCGGGAAACCTGCCTGTTTATGTGGTTGAGCTAAGGGAGTCATGTTTTAGTTTTTGAGATAAAAAAAATAAAAGTAGTTTCAATAGAAGGCTTAGAGATCTAAAGGGTTAGGGACGTATTATTCTTTTATACTAGGGTTATCGGAGGTTCGGATTACTTAGCAGTCCGAACCGATTACTAAGCAATATAAACCTACTATACCACCAATGCTTATCCAAAACGAGCCGCATTGTTTGATTTTCGTCCATGCCAACCTAGACTACCCCTTACTTTTGCCGATATTCTTCTGAAAAACTACCCTAGATTCTACACTTTCTATCCATAAATATTAATATAGTGAATTCAAGGTCAGACTACTTGCCAACCTGCTGAGGCCCAGGACGCCCGTGTGTGGTGCAAGTACATCCGCGTGTTAAGCGCCAGCTCTCGGCCAGAACGAACTACAAATTACTCTGATTATAGTTCATCTCGACCAACAGACAGTAAAGCTAATTAGTCCACATGAGTTACATGAGCCACCTCTGCCTTCTCAACTCGCTTTTGCTCAAGAGTAATTAATGTCTGAGGACGCTCTCTCTGCGTAAGTTCTGGAACGCGGCAGACAATCAGACCTGGATTCTGTATAAAGATCTGGTCCATGTCTTCCAGGGTACGACGAGCGGTTTCGGGATATAGGAAGTAAACGATTGGGAAATAGGAGTAGCAAAAGCCAGCAAATACTGTCCTTGGTAAGCGTCTTGTTCCTCTAACGATGTAATTGCCGGATCACCTACAGAGAAAGAAGCCCCAATTCAGATTGTCAACGCCAGTCTTGGTGAATTGAGTAACGATGAAGCCACCCATCCAGTTAGTGGCTGTGGCGGCTGCAGCTCCCCGCGTGCGCCAACCGAGAGAGTTGACTTCCGAGTTGAACACCCAGGGTACTTTGGCAAAGCTGGTACCGTAACAGAAGTAGTAAATAAAGAAGAAGGCAGTGGTGACTTCGCCGAGCTAAGGAAGACGTTAGCTGTTTATCTCCAATTTGGGTGTCTCTGTTCCATCACGTACCCTCTCCTTCATGCCCGGGTTATGCTTAGCTCCGAGAAGAGTCATGGACACAATCATATAGCACGAGCCCATTGTCGCTGCTCCATACAGCATCATCCTATCAGGGTTAGTAAGTCAACAGGGTATTCATGGGCTAGGTGAAAGCTTACTTTCGGCGACCAAAGCGGTCAATGATGAACAGACAGCAAATGGCGGCAAACAGGTAGATAGTGCCATTGACACCAGTGAGAAGGCGACTTCGGCGCGCGCTGTAGCCAAGAACCTGCTGTAACATCGTTGGAAGGTAGTATCCGAGAGCATTGACCCCTGAGAACTGCTGCATGAATTGTGTACCGCACGACAGTAGGATCCTGCGAAGGTTTTGAGTCTTGTCACGACACCTGAGCATATCAATCGTGGATACGGTCTCATTGCGCTCTTGTTGGATTGTAGCTTGAATTGACCTGAACTCAGTCACGACATCGAGGTCCTCGGTGGTCGCGTTGCTGCCAGCAAGTCGTGCTATAACAACAAGAGCCTCGTCGTGTCGGTCCTTGAGCATCAGCCATCTCGGCGAGTCGGGGACAAACAACAGCGCAACGGCGATGACGCAGGGAAACAGGAGCTGAAAGCCGAGGGGGAAACGCCACTGAATGGGGCCGCTTCGAACACCAAGGGCGTAGTTCATCCAATTGGCGAGGCAAAAAGCGGCGGTATTGCATAGGGACTGTACGACAACGAGTTTACCTCGAACGCGAGGCTTGGAGCATTCGGCCTGATAGACGGGACAGGTAGACGAGGTTATGCCTGCGAGCCAAGACGTTAGATTGTAATTCGACTTGCGTGTGGAAGATGAACGTTGGAGACATACCCATTCCGAATCCGTTAATGACACGACCGACTATCATCTGAGGAAGATGCCATGACACGATCTGAAGCACAGCGCCAATGAGGTTGCTCAGGAGACCAACCCAGATGGTCTTCTTTCGCCCTAACTTGTCACCGCAAACAAAGGCAAAGATTGCCCCAAAAAAGGCGCCCAGCTGTAATGGTGTTGAGTATTTGCACTTGGTCAAAGGTAGCCTGTCACTTACTGCAAAGCAACTGGAAACAATTCCAGAGATACTCGCGGTCTTAGTCTCGGGAAACCAATATTTGAAGTCGGCTGAGATGAGAACTGATGAGAAGACGCCCTGATGGACCGTCGATGAGCGACTTCCTGGACCAGATACGACATGGGCTAGCTTACCTGGTCGTAACCAAACCATGACATGGAAACTATGTAGACGCATCAGCATTGAGCGCATCATAGAGTTACCGAGTCACTGACCAGCATTGACAAGTGTCACACACACCAAAAGTGGCGTGCCACTGAGATTACCCAAAGCCATTGAGTATTAGTCTTGTAAAGAAAAGGCAATGTTGAGAGGATGATAATGAGATCAAACAACGGAGAAAGTGATGAGCTGTTGCCATTTATAATAATCACAGGAACGCCATCCCGATATCAGGCCGCCTTTGCTGGTTGCTAGTTTCTGGTTGCCAGACGTTCGGGTCTGGGGTCTGGGGTCTGGTCTGGGGAACCCCGAGCTAATGGGAAGTTGTGCGGGGAAATTGGTCAGACAACCCATCGGCTGATACAGGCTTCGGCGTAGGTTGCAGTAGAGCAGCGAGGGAGGAATTAAATCCGGCTAGCATTAACCGCTTCGACACGAGCTAGTCCAGCATTAGTCTTAGTATGTGCAAGGATTATTGGCGGCGGGGACAGGCGGCAGAGCGTCATCACCTCTATTACCAGCTAGCTCGCGGGGGTAGGCGGCACATTGTCCACCGACAGCCAAGACCCCTCATTGAGAGTTTATGATGCGGTGCGACACAACTGATACGGATAGTGGCCAGCTCCACATGAACACACAGTTAAGATCATGAAGACAAATTATGTAAAGTTGTACACGATAACTTGCAATCTTTTCTCACTTTGTCATTGATGGTCTTGAGCAAATCCTGTCTAAGATGGTTTCTTGGCCTCCCGCAATGTACGTTGAAACATACATTTTCCTCATACTATAATAAACCGACTGACTGATTTTGACTCATTAGACAATACGTCTTGGTGACTGGTGCCACCGGGTTTATTGGTGCACATGTTGTCGACCAACTTCTGTCGCGTGGTATCAAAGTCCGCGGGGCTACTCGATCATTATCCAAGGGGAAGGCCATGATTGATGTGAGGCCTGAGTTTCGAGAGAAGCTTGATTTCGTTCAGATTGGCGACTTTGAGAACCCGGGAGGATTTGTGGAGGCTATTCAGGACATCGACGCCGTTATTCATGTGGCAAGTGTACGTGCTATGAAAGACTTGGATAATATGACACAGATTCTGACCTCACCTAGCCTTTCACTTATGACACCAAAGACAATGAGAAAGAGTTGATTATACCAGCGATCAATGGTGTTGATTCTATCCTCAAAGCGGCGGCTACTTCGCCGAAAGTAAAGCGCATCGTCATCACGTCTTCCTTTGCATCCGTCCTTGATGCTGGGCGCAAGGCACCACCGTACTTCACTTACACTGGCGATGACTGGAACCCTCTGTCATACGAAGAGTCGGTCGACCCTGAAACAAGTGCTGTAATAGCATACCGTGGATCCAAAAAGTTTGCAGAACTCAAAGCTTGGGACTTCATCGCTAAAGAGAAGCCCTCCTTCGACCTGGTCACCCTTTGCCCGCCTATGACGTTTGGTCCCATACGGCATCCCGTTACGAATGTCGACGCGCTGAATGAGTCAAACAAGATGCTCTTCAACATAGCCAGCGGCGAAACTCCGCTCCCAGTTGCCAGGGTATCATTCTGGATCGACGTTCGCGACCTTGCCAAAGCTCACGTCGAGGCACTTTTGCGGCCTGAGGCTGGCGGAAAGCGGTATATTCCAGCGTCTCCTGAGAGATTTACATACAGCAAGGCCGCCAGCATCATTGGGTCGCATTTTGCCTGGGCGGCAGATAATGTGTCGAAAGAGGTGCAGGCTCCTGATGAATCTCATGGGGTGGATGGGGAGACGGCTGGTCGGGAATTAGGTCTTGATTACATACCTTTTACAAGGACTGTTATCGACTTGATCACGCAGGTAAGGGATATGCAAAAGTCATGATTGTTCGAACTGAGAAGTATGGCACTGGATTGTGGAAACTGGCCGAAGGCAGCAGGTATAGTTCCGCCGATGGTTGTCATTGTCTTGCAAGATTTCACCAGGATCTCTTCCCTAATGTTATCCCAAGCTTCTTCCAAATCAAAGAAAGAGGCTTCTTAAATGCGATAATGCAATCTATTTATGAGTTCTATTCATACGTGATGCATTGTAATATGTCTCAATAACTATGAACTTTTCGCATAGCACGCAGAAAATCTTCAACCTAGGCACCATTTCATACAAGAGAGCGTTCAGATCGTACAAGGCTCATAGGATTGGACGCGGATAGGCGGCAGCGACAGCCCGAGCAGAATGCGGGTATAGGCGGCATTGGCGAACCGAGTCGCGTCTATGGCCCCTACCAGTTTAGTGCATTAGCAAATTGAGGAAATTTAATGTAGGGTATCTTGGCCGGTAAATAATAACACATGAGGAAGAACAAATACTTGGTCCCCCCCGCTCTTCGTTTCAAATACTTACATTATGCTCAATTTATAGAAGGAGAGCGAAGGTGGCTATTATATGGGCTGTTTTAATAAATGCTTTTCTCAAGGCCTGCGTTGAGCGTGAGATTTGGCGGCGGCATAACTTGGCCGGACGACATCAAGCTATGATGTATTTCAGTCTGTAGCAACCATCTACACCTGACGCTTTATTATTCCACTATCTCTCAGACAGTAGCCCTATTAGTTTTTGCAATAGACTATTATGTTATTTAATATGCATTTCCTATATATATAAAAAGAGTATTTGCAATAATGAATCTTGCCAAGGGCATACATAACCGGTGCATTGTAAATCCGTCCCGTTGGGTGCGGGGTGTGACTGTTTTATTTTAGTCATACATTATTTGCTGTACCATTCTTTTTGTCGACTATGTTCGCTTTCTAGAATTAAACATGAGCTTCAATCGGCAAAGAGTAGCACTGGCATGTACTTATTGCCGCCACCGGTAAGCTGCCTGCCAGGGAAGACAGACGCGCAAGTTGCTGAGCTGCACTAGGAAACGGCGATGTGACGCCACCAAACCAAGATGTAATAATTGCACCAGGTCAGGAGCGGACTGTCATTACGATGACGGACCCTCGCAAAGGTATAGGCATGCTACGACCTGTCCTCGATGCAGCGTCTAACGATTGCCTAACAGAATCGATACTTCTGGGGGCACAAAGGAAATAATAAGTCGGTTGAAAGACATCAAAGACATGCTGGCTGAGCAACAGCAGCACTTAACAGCCTTATCATCCAGGAACCATTCTCAGCCAGCATCTCGCGTCAACTTATCGCAAGGCGCTACGCCAAATACAAGTGATGGATCGCCAATAAGTGCTCCTGTGAATGGGACGCAAGCTATCGACGACGAGCCTCCACAATTCTCCTCTAGTATGAGAGAGCCGTTGGACGTAGTATCTGAACCGATGAATATTCCGGCCGAGCACAAGACCTCTTCAAGTTACCTCCTAGGTCTCCCAGCTGTGAAAATGCTAGTAGGTGAATATCCAACAAACCTATTCTTCCTACTAGAGAGCCAGAGTCCTCTGCCACCGGAGCTGTCTCCAGAGCAGTCGCAGAATCCGCTGCCTCCTTTCCAAATAGAACGATCGGTACTTGACCACCTAGTTGCCACCTTCTTCTCGTCAGTACACGTTAGTCATCCAGTACTCGATCAGGCAGAGTTTACAGAGATCTACGAAAGATTCCTGGACAAGGGAGCAGACTCGAGCACAGAGTCAGCCTTATGTATGACAGTCTTTGCTCTTGGTGCTGTTTCTAGTCTACCAATGGGTTTATGCCATCCGCAAACTTCTCCCAATGGTACGAAATATATGAAATATGCTCTACCAACGCTCATGCTCCGCTCATTATGGTTGTTTTCCTTCGATCTCACATTAGCTCAGGCACTTGTTTTGGCGAGTGTCTATTTTGCATATATTGTCCGTCCGCTTCATAGTTGGCGACTCATATACTTGGCTACCAATCTTTTACAGCTAAAGCTTTCAAGGTCAGAGCTTCATACTATCAGATAGTTAATCGCTAATAAGATTACCAGCTTGGATTGCCAAAAGCAAACACTCAATACAGAAGTCGATATACTGCGGCTATTTTGGTCTTGCTTTATCATCGAATGCGACAGGCTCGCTGAGCTGGAGCTCCCTAGAAGCAGTCTTCAACAATTGACTGATGACGCAAGCCTGCCCCGATGTGGGAATCTGGATGATCTTCACATGACAGCCTATCTGGCCGAGATATCTATCAGACGACTTCTGAACCGCATACACAACTCCCTATACCCAAGAACACCAAATTCTCTCAACACGTCTCTTTCTTCAACCTCACTGATGACACCAGAAGAGTTTTCTATCGACGAGCTGACTTCGATCACCTCTGTCTGTGAAGAACTGCACAGTCAACTCGACTTATGGCACGCAGCAATCCCCGAGCAGTTCCGACCACCACTTAATCTTGAGGAAATAGACAATGACAGGATATCCATATTGAGAATTCGATACTATGCCGCGAAACATATTATATACCGACCTTTTGTTCTCCATGTTACAACGCACACGAGCTCACAGATTTCGAGTGCTATTGTCGAGAAGGCAGGTATTTGTATCGAAAGTTGCAGTTTGTATCTTTACCACACCTCTAAGATTCTTCGCGCTCCAAGTCAGTACACTTGGACGTTTGCATTGTCGTAAGCAACCTCCATCAGGCCGCAGTGTCTAATACTAAATCACCAAGCCAGGTCGCTCGGGGCGGTGATTATACTGACACTGTCATGGCTCAATTCTGAGCTCCGGCACTTTATTCCTGACATAGAGAGCCTTCAAAGTTTGGCCATTGATAACTTGAGTCAATGGAATGTTTCCAGTATCTCCGATGTTTTGGCAATACTTAAGGAGATAAGGAGGAAGACACGTCTTCGAACAAGAGTCTGAGAGATCTAGGATCTTGATAACGCAGGTTCATCTGATTGTCCGGATTCTATTTCACAGTACTATAAAAGATATCAAGGTGTGAAATATCTTGATTGATGTATAAGAGGAGTCGATTCAAATGTTATAGCTCGCCACCTGTGGGCTGCGCGATAATCTTCAAACCAATTTCAGATGTCCAGAACTTGCCATCAGGATAAGTATACTTTTGGAGCGCTTCATCAGTGTAGCCTGTAGAGTAACCTGGTGACAATGGCGTGACGTAGTGAGTATTGACAATCTTGGAGGGATGTCGCAAGTTTTCACGGTGGCTGTCGGCATTTTCCAACATCGACTTGCGTCCACTAATAGCAACATAGTCAATCGTGCTGAGATGGGATGTGAGTTCTGTCAAGCCCATTGCGCCATTATGTGGAACGCATGGGATATTGAACTTGAGGGCCATCAGCATGACCGCCTAGAACGAGGATGATTAGCTTGGGACGCGAATCAACAGTAACTATGCTTATGCGGACTTACAAGACATTCGTTAACGCTACCGAGTCTAACAGCATCGATTTGTGCAACGTCAGTTGCTTCAGCCTGCAATAACTGCTTGAAAGTGACTCTGTTTTGTGCTGCTTCGCCTGTGGCAACACCGACGCCATACGGCTTCAGCGCCTTGCGAATCGCTGCGTGCCCCAGCACGTCGTCGGGGTTTGTGGGTTCTGCAGGAGAATCAGGAATGTATGTCCAGTTGGCTGAAGGAAATTGAGGCATACCTTCAATAAAAACAGGCTTGAACTCCACCAAATGCTTCATGTACTCAATAGCCTCGGGTACGCTCCAGACCTATTCCAACGTTAGCGACAGCTATCATAAAGCGGAGTGACCACTTGCCTGATTAGCATCAATCATGATCTGGTAGTCATTATCGTAACCCAAGACGTCTCTCACAGCAGACAATCTTTCTCTATCGGCCTCGATGCTGGTCCCGACTTTGAACTTGAAGACCTTGTATCCCTGGGCCAATGTCTCATGCAACACCTCCTTCATCCTATCGCCAGAGAATGCCATCCATCCCGCGGATGTTGTATAGGCTGGCACGGCAACATTCTCGAATGCCTCCCTCAAGCGCTCTTCCTTGCCTTTGACAGTCTTTTGAAGCATACTGGTGGCCTCTTCTGGTGTGATGACGTCGGTGATATACCTGAAGTCGATGCAGCGGACAATCTCCTCGGGACTCATCTCACACACGATCTGCCATACCGGAAGACCTAATATCTTGCCCCAGAGGTCCCAAACAGCGTTGAGTACGCCAGCAACGGCCAAATGTGTCACGCTCTTCTCAGGACCGATCCATCTGTACTGGGAGTCGGAGACCATATATCGCCAGGTCTTGCCCATGTTGCGAGTCAACTCATGCATTGTCTTTCCAACTACGCGTTTCGCGAAGATGTTCAGAGCCATACAAATGAGTTCACTTCCTCGACCGTTGCTGAAAGCCTGTCTGACCATTAGCAGCAATTCTGAAGGTGTCGACCGCAACCGGACTGACAATCCCTTCACCGATCAAATCACCGTGATTGGTATGCAGTTGAATGTATGGATGCGACCCATTCGTGCCAATATGCATGGCGTCTGAGCCAACTCCGTCTAGACTAGTGGGGAACCTGATGTCGGTAACGGTGAAGCTGGTGATGGTGACATCATCAACTTCTAATGGTGTCTTTGAGGATGGCATTGTAGCGGCGTAGACAGGAGAAGAAACAGGCTCTGGTGTTTCAAGGTTGGAACCTACGATTTGATTTGTACATCATCTTGTAATGACGAGGCGCCTTTTAAGGAGATTATAACCTGTCCCATTAATCACAACAAAGAATGCGGAAGTCAGACCCGCAAGTTAGAGGATTGCGGGGTTCGGTGCGAACCAGCGGGCTTATCTGCCGACTATCCCCGCTATCTATTTTGCTCCTGGCAATACTGGCCAATGTGGTTAGACAAAAGGACCGGATAAACCTTTATACAGAACGGAATTAATATGGAGAGCTGTTAACATAAGACCTGAGGAGCTCCAGTCCGCGTATAGTGCTTTGTGGCGCAGTAGGCGTCTTCCGTCAGCGGCTGCTGAGGTCTTTGGGCGCTTATCATAAACCCAGTCATCCGCCTCTCACATCCCTTTAACTTTCGTTTCCCCGCATTACGATATCTACAATCTGTTTGAGCCTGGCACAGTTAAGCAAATATCTCTCAATTACCCTTGCCCAAAATGCTCCCGGTCCTCGAACTCACGGGCTGCGCTGAATTCGAAGAGCTGTTGCAAAACTGCAAAGTTATTATCCTCAAAGCAGAGGCTACCTTATCTGCACTCTACAACAAACGCGCCTCCTTCAAGAAGATATCTGATGAATAAGATTATGGGACTGGGGAATACACCTTGGCGAAATGGACTACCGGTAATATCCTCGAAATTATTTATGTATATTGGGCTTGTAGAAATGAAGGCAGTAATTGCCACCAAGCCTACTGCGACTCAAGTAACGGTGGTGTTTAAGATCAAGAATTGGCAAGATAGTAATATGCATAGTCTTATGGAATTGCAGTCATGTTAAAAGCGTTGTTTTATGCTGGCACTTTTGCTTGATTATATAATTCAGCCGAAGGCTGACTCTACATTAATTCATAAGTTTTCCCGAATAATGAGGGTTTGGTTCAGCCGAAGGCTGACTCTACATTAATTCATTCAGCCGAAGGCTGACTCTACATTAATTCATAAGTTTTCCCGAATAATGAGGGTTTGGTGCAGACAGGGATAAATAAGTTTCTCGGAATCTGATTGGTCCAGATTTTGTATGGCCAGCCGCGAAAGAACGCGCAACTGGCTGATGGCACCAAAAGAGTGGGGCCAATCGGTGCTGGCCCCCA